GTACTCCTAGAGACTCATTGGTATCCTTTGCAGACACATTGAGTTTACAAAATTTTCCGGAATTATTTTCGTTAGCCCCATTTTCGGTGTTTATCTACAGATTTTCAAAATATCATCTGATTCTGAGGAGTTTTACGATTTTTTCTTGCACGCCCATGTACTCCTCCAGAACTTCCAGCTACGGGAAGTTTCTATAAGTGTTGTCAAGTGTGTCCAAATTAGAAATGCACACAGACTGAAATCGCCACCGTTTCCTTCTTCCCTCATCCACATAGAAGATATAATGTATCATCACCTGCGCTTACTGACTTGTATATGTGTCAAGCGTACGCAATTCCGACCATCGTAGATTAGCTTGATTACCGTTTTTGCGATTGTAAGATAGGATTTGATGTTCGATCATTTGACGAACAAATAGTAGCGACAGGTAATAATGACAATGACGATGACGATAGTGATACTGTCAGTAATATTGCTACTGACGATGGTGATGACCACGATGTAGATGAGCCATGTGTAGACATAGTAGGAGGGTGTCCACTCTTACTGGAATCAGTTATAGAAAAAGATTCCATGATTCAAAACAAAATTACGGTTTTTGTTCATCTAAGTGTTGTTTTGTCGATGTAGGTAGAGGGAAAAATGATGAATAAGTTCTATTCGTCGAGATATTAGATTCTATAAATTTTATTAGTATATACTACATTTTTTGACGTTCCTATTATTCTACCCAAATTGTGAATTATAATCGGCAATATAAGATATTGATTACTGCTCAAAACTGTATATTTGAACCAGAGCTCGGGCGAAAGTATTTGTACTTGTACTTAGGGAAAAATACTTTGCAATTGTATCCTCCATTCATTATGGCTCAATGGGTATAACTATCAAGTACCTTTCCCAAATTATAAATATAAGTACCAAATACTTTACTTGAAAGACAAGTATCCCTAGTCGAAATTGTTTTCAAGCGCTTGACAACACTGGAACTCAAGATGTGTCCATAGCGCAGGACCATCTTGCCCAAGAAGTTCAAGAAGATCATGCGCATGTGCACAAAAAAATTATAAAAAATTTTGGTATATGTAACAACGTTTTTTCTTCAAAAAATGCTCATTTATAGAAGAAAATTGTTCGATTTGGATGCCTTTTTTTACAAAAATTTCTCTTATTACCCGCATGTCAAGAAATATTTCAAGATGTGTCCATAGCGCATGACTTTCTTGCTCAAGATCATCAAGTATGTCATGCGCATCCCAAAAAATGTTTGACTGGGGATGAGTATCAAGTATTTTGTTTCAAAATACAGGTACAGGGGCAAGTACACTGGTGCAACAGCAAGTAAAAGTAAAAGTAAACATTTTCAAGTGCAAGTAAAGTATTTTTGCTTGCTGTGCTTTTACTTGTCCTAGCTCTGATTTAAACTGAGGTGGTTCAAATTAGAGTTTAACTTTGGTATGAAAATTTGGTAAGTTCAATCTAGGCGTGGTAGAACTACAAACCTTGACGGTATAGGTGAGCCATACCTGGCTCACATTTCGTTACGCCACAATTTCCATTGACAAATCCTTTCAGAAAATATTCCACGCAGAAGGTGGTGCCGAGTGTGGGTGTTACACATGTTTTTTACCCCACCCACACCCATCCAGTTATGAAGCGTCTTTAATCCATTCTGTCCTCAGCCATATAGCCGAGAAGAAAGTTGTTAGCCAAAAGCCTTTCAAGTTATCATTACGACGAAAACTAATATGACGCTTATTCTTATAGTTTGATACGCGTGGCCTAATTATATTTATAATCACACTCCTTTGTAACTTCACTGAACGTAAGTAACACTACGACACAAACATGAGCAATTTAACGATCAATTCCGGCGACAATGATTGGGTATGTTCAGTTTTTACTCATGGGCCACAATGCACACTCTCCTCCATGTTTTATTTGCACTGACGGAAATTTTTTTCAGCCAAGATACTTACGTCTGTGGAGCTGTTAGTAGGCCCACAGTCGGTTTTCTATAACATTTTCAGTTCTTTTGAGCTGGTGCTATTAGAGTTTCTAGTCAATGAGTAATTATTCAAAAGTGGTCATTAATGACCAATGAATCACAATTGATTTTCAACCTGTAGCTCTACGTACCTCTGTCTGCACAGAAAAAATCACAAAAAGATATTGTTTATATTTTCAAATTATAGAACAGCGCAGAGCGGAGTCGAACCATTGCATGTTACATGTGAGCCACATTTGACACATAGTTCGAAAATTCTTTAAGCTTTCAGGCTCGAAGAGGAAGGTATTTTACTCACTCTCAATTTATGAAAGAATATTTTGCTTTCCAACAATGAAGCATTACTCGAACATAAATGTTGGGATCTCGTCCCTTCTTGATTCTCCACGAATTTGTTTCCTTTGCACTGAGAGGATATGTGGCATTCTAGTAATTATAATTGAGAGAAATTTTCTTCCTAGGTTTTAACGTCGACGGCTCTTGTCTACATGATGTGAGTTTCCTTTTATTTCCTCTCCTATTTCTTACTGTTTGTTTTGAAATTCGAGTATAGGACACCAGCGTTGGCTTTTTTTTATGGCGGCCTCGTCGCAACCCACAATATTCTCAATCAACTCTTTCTCTCTATCGTCTGCATGGCTATTGTCACCGTCCAATGGTTTTTCTTCGGTTTTTCGTTTGCTTTTGGGCCAGGTAACACTGGGTTCGGCTCATTTCAATTCAGCGTTCTCAACTTTCACTCGACAACGGACAGTGTATATGGACTTCTACCGGATACTGTCAATTCACAGACAATTCCTATACTCGCGTTTGCAGGCTATCAAGCTTCATTTGCCGTTATTACACCCGCTCTCATCTCGGGTGCTGTTGTCGGGCGTATGAAGCTACTTCCGTACATGCTGTTTGTAGTTCTTTGGTCGACAGTGTGCTACGATCCTATTTGTCGATGGATCTTTTCCCCACTCGGTTTGTTTGCTTTGCTATTTTTCTTCCCATAAAAAACCACAAAAAATTGCATACTCTGACAGAACTAAAACGGTATTATTTGAGGGTCGAAAAATTAAATGCTCTGGTCATCTAAGAAAATGTTATTCGTTGTTACCCCGTCAAGCCGTTCAAATTGTGCCATTGGTAACTTATTTGGAAACGATAAAGATTCATTTTTGAAAAAACTCCTTTACTGAAAATGGCGTACTTTAGAGTGTGAGTGTTCGACATTGGCCTACTTTTCAGATTCAGAGTCACACTGGCCCCTTAAATAATTGCTTCTTACGAAAAAATTTCTTTTAATTTAAGGCTGGCTTCATATCTACGGTGCGCTTGATTTTGCTGGTGGTTGTGTTGTGCACTTGTCCAGCGGAACGAGCGCTTTGGTTGCCGCTCTCATTCTTGGCAAGCGGCACGACTTCGGTTAGTTCAGCTTTATCTCTCTTCCCTGTCAGCATATTGTACCTAGCGTTTTAATAACACCAGATCCAAAGAATAGTTTTGATGCTCACAATCTTCCGTTCACCGTGCTCGGAACAGGCCTTTTGTGGGTTGGGTAAGTTCAAGTTGTCTCTTGTTGTCCACCACGCCACTTTACTTATTCTAGCTGGATTGGCTTCAATGGTGGATCATCTCTGGCTTCCAACGGTAGGTAGATTAAACTTTGTTCTATACTAGTTTCTTGCAGAGGCTTGCATTAAATAGTATCAAAGCAGCACAACAAATATCGCCTAAATGGGTGTAGTTGCCGAGAACGATAAAATAACACGAGATATACGCTCACACCTACATTAATGTGTATACTTATTAGTATCCCAGCATCTTCTTTATCTCATATATCTTCTATTCCTCCATATCTGTTACCCTAGTGTTTTATAGAATATTGAGGGAAGTCTCAAAATCATTTAATCGTATTCAACCAAGTCTATACTATTTTGATTTCATTGGTATGGAGAAGGCTAACGTTGTTTTTTTTCTTGATGGGTAATCTATTAACTATAAGACTTTTTCTGAATGAATTGTGCACATTTTGAGCGTATGAAGTATGATCGTAGTAAGAAAAAAATGTTTCTTCAATCACGATCATTATCACGATTATGAAGACAGTAGATTATCATTCTTCACAAAATGTAGTTACCTGAGTCGATTCCTAAATCAGGTCAACACCTGTGGAGCATTAAACGATTAAGTAAACTCTGGCAACCAAAATAGAGACTTTAACTTGGGGAAGTTTTATGTTAAATATATTCTTTATATAAGATATGTCTTACATATTTAGGCGTGTCGATTCATTACTGACGAGCGACATTTGTTTTTATCAGTGCTCTGATCAAGGATAGAAATACTAACATCCTTTAAAATACGTGTAAAATAAAAAAACTCCCTTCATTGAAGCTCCTATTCGGTTACCAGAATTGACTAAATCATTTTAGGGATCAATTCACGGAACTGCAATCTGTGGGAAATGATAGTCATTTATATTGTAAGGAGATGGGACGAGACGGCGTTACTCGGCGCTTCTTGGTTTTCCGTAATAGACTTAAGTTTCAACTTTTGTTTTTATTGATACTGGTATTTTTAGGTAACTGTAGCCTAACCTCAGTTGGTATTAGACTTTCACATGGTTTCATGCAGTCCAAAATGGAGACGCGAAACACTGTTGAAAAGTCCATCGCTCTGAAAGCTAGTCAAAATTCAACTAAACAAATCTATCTCGAGGAAGGAAGTCGAAACTAACATCTGATAGAATATGTGAAACAAGGAAGGCGACACACGAGTAGAAAACTATTCGTTCAAGATAGTTTGAAGGCAGAAATCTATGTGTGTAGCGTAGATTTTTCAAAGCTCATTTGTCAAGCTACGTTGTGGTGCATGACTGTATATTTATAGAATTGTCGAATATCGAGAGATTCCTATAAGCACTTGCAAACCGTTTTGTGTTTAAGAACTCGTGCTAGTCATTGAAACACGTGACTTTTGTTAAACAGGAGTGGCGGCAATAGCAATGACGAACACAAATACGGCGGCTGCTGCTGCTGGTCTAGTTTGGATCTTGATTGATGCTGCCCAAGGCACAGTTTCAATATCCGGTGCCTGTTCTGGAATAGTCGTCGGCTTGGCCACAGGTAAGTTATTATCTGTTCTGTCCTGTTGATACTCTCACAAGATAAAAAATCCGACGAAGATAATTCCATCTCAATTGGTTTCTGGTTATAGTTACGCCTGCTGCCGGTTATATCCAACCAGGTTATGCTCTCCTGATGGGTTGTATCGGGTCAGTGATTGTCTACGGATGGTTAAAATTGAAAACCCGTTACTTACACTTCGACGACACACTGGACGCATTCTCATGCCATGGTATGAGCGGTATTGTGGGTACCTTTTGCACAGGTCTCTTCTGTCAGATCGATATCAACTCAGCAGGCGCCAACGGAGCCTTTTACGGTAACCCCGTGCAATTGTGGAAACAGATTGCTGCCATACTTGTAGTAAGTTGTCCTCTATCTTCTTTAAAAATACTATATCCGGATGTCTATAGACGGCAAGCTTCTCGGCAGCAATCACAGCAGGTATTCTTCTTCCTATGCATTTTACATTCGGCATTACACACACATCCGAAGATCAAATCATTGGTTTGGATCAGACACTACATGGAGAATCATGGTTTGGACCCGGCCACCATGCTAATTCCTCGAAGAATCCGGCGAACAGTAACAACGCAGGGAACGCGGGTATTCCACTTGCAATTGTGAACACAGCTGCTGTTCCGCCTCCAGCACAGCTAAAAACTCAAGTCTAGCAACAGGTGTTCTTCAACATGTTGGTAACATTGTTTCCTATCATTCATTTCTTATTTGTGTCTGCAAAACGTATCAAGGAGAACTAATAACTTAGAAGTCTTAGTTCTCTGCTATACAACTAATCAACTATTATACTGTGTGTGTTGATCACAGCGTAAATAAATTTACGTAGTAGAAATTCTTTTTTTATACTGCCTTCATTTTGTCTCAATAAAGATTTCACATTTGCATTGCCCAGCCATTGTTGCTCATGCTCGGGGTATGGACGTGTGTCTCCTCTTCATCTACATCCACGCCCACCATAAATTTTAATTATTGTATCAAAATTTGTAACTCAAATGTTTCTATCAGAAAAGTGCAAGTACTACACTATCTAAGTAGATATTATATTAAGAATACTATCTAATAAAGTCCCCGCCAGGACAGAAACAAATGTTGTCGTGGTACGGCGATATAAACCTAATCATACACATATACGCTGGTTGTACATATCGTACTTATCGCTTTCAATGTTACTGATGAGTTGCTCTGTATAATGTACGTGGATAGAGGGAAGCGATGCACTTGAAGGGACGAAATAATCTTTTAAATTGTTTCGGCAATGGCTCAGATAAATCCATATTTTCGCGATCGCTTTCAGAACCTTGGATAATATCTTTGATACACAAAAGATGAGGATTTTCCACAGATCACATACGAAGACAAATGTTAAGCGCTTGTTTATAAAAAGGTAATGCTGTCCGTAAATCGACTTTCTCTTCTTTAATACTGCCTTTATTTACTAATACTATAGCGATCTCTATGTGTTCTGGTGGCAGTGATCTCTTGTAGATTTCAAGCGCGCGCTTATAATACTTCAATGCCGTGCCATATTCGCCAAGACGTTGATAAACTTCTCCCATATTATTCCAAGATGTTCCAAATCGGAAATGACCCGGTGGCAAATTTTTTAATCGAATCTCCCGTGCTTTTTCATGATAATTGAGTGCATCAAAATATAACTTCTGTTCCTTACAGACGACACCGATGTTAGTATAAGTCATGGCGCTCGTCAGATCATCATCACCAAATGCTTGTTGAAATATAGCTAACGCCTCGCGGTACAATTGTAGTGCCTGGCCAAAGTTACAGCTATTGTAATGCACACGCGCGATAGCGGTGAGCGTATCAGCAATACTAGGATCTGATGATTTTAATGTTTGCCTTCGAATGTTTAACGATTTGCTAAGAAGATCGAGTGCACATTTATCGTCACCGTTTTCTGTGGCTACTAAACCAAGTAAGTAATAACAGTACGGCTTCCACACATGATCATTGGGCGGCAGTAATTTCAGACAACGATTATAATAATTTTTTGAATCTTCAAATTTGCCCATATCGTGCAGTAAATTACCAAGTGCAAGAAGATCTAATTCACATCGACTAGATTCTCTTCGCAAATAATTAAAGATCGTTTTCAAAGCTTCATCATGATCACTGCATAATTTTAGTTCAATCAACCATACTCTATATTCACCAATCTGAACGCTTTCAATCTGAAAAATTGATCCCAATATAAACAAAATTTCTCCTTCTTGAGGGAAGTCGCTCAGGAATGTTATATCAGCAAATGGTTTGATACCATCAATTAATGGATTGACATATATTATAAAGAGTACTTTTTCTAAACCGTCCGTATTCCCAACGTAGACTTCAGTCACATCACGATAACGAGTCGTCGACAACAATGAATTTATTGAAACCAACTTTCCCACTGATTGCTGCAATCTTTTCAGCTCATATTTCGACAGAGATTGACCTCGATAAACATATCCTGGAGATGACCATTGATTTTCTTTGAGTTCCTGTGCAGTATCACGAAGAAAAAACGAAAAACAAAGAGTACATCGATGTTTTGTACACGAAGTGCTTTGTTTAGCATTCGATAGACAAACGAGTCTCTTGTATACCACCACACTGATTTATCACTTGAATATTCGTTTTGAAATTCGTGTACAAGTTTCAGATAACAGTTTTGATCTTTGATATCTTTTTGATCTTGACAAAAGCGAATAAATTCTTCGATTGCCGTTGAAGTCGATTTCATTTTTTGAAGAGCCTCAATCAACAGCTGTGAATGAATGAAATGACCGTCCAATTCGGCAGTTGACTTCTCTTGATTATCATCGGTGCTGAGTATATCAAATGAGAATAGATCATCGGTTTCACGGCGTGGTCGTCTCCTATAACGTGATGGTATTGAAGTAGCAAGTTGATTCAACTGCGAACATATGCCTCGAAACTAAGAAAGAAGATTATCTAAATCGTCAAAGTTGTTGGATGTATAATTACCTTTCTAAACTGTCGAAACCATGATTCATTTGACTGTATCTCAGTACTATAAATATATATGGCTAACACCTGTTGAAGTTGATGAATTCGAGGTATAATTTGTTGGCCCAATGGAACATCAGCAATAAAGACAATGCAATCATCATCCGAAAGGGATCGGATGAATTGCTCACATCCAATAATATTTTCAAATGTCTTTATATGATTGATCGACGACGGAATTTGTTCTAAAGCATCAAGAATATTTTGCGAGTTACTGGAAATGTCAAGTAGCCAAATCGTATTAACATTATTATTAATTGCTGTTGAATATGACTGCATTGTCTCCTGTCAATCAATCAGGACTAAATAATAAAAAAATGATATCGAAAAAAAATCATTATAGTGTAATTAATTGCTACGTGCTTCCTCTTTATTACCAATTTCCTTGCTATAACTACTGAGTTTTTATATATAGAGAGTGCGCTTTTTATACACAACCAAGAAAGAGGAGGAAAAGAAGAAACAAAATACGACAAGAAGGAGTACTCTGAAGGAACATTAACGTCTTATTATCATGACAAACGATAAACATAGACAGAAAGAACAAATAACAGACAAACGAGATAAAAAGGTTATGACGTATCAGAACAGTCTGGAAATACAGATAGATGATTCACTATCATAACGGATGCTGCGAAAGTTTCTGGGCAAAATGTTTGTTCGTTTTTGAACCTCTTGAAAGAACTAGAGACGAGTGAAAAACTAGTTTGAACGAAAACGTTGCCCATACATTTTCGGATTTTCGCTGTTGGGATTCGAAACTAAAACTTGGAACCTTTATTATTATATCAGATTACAGAGCAAATGGGACGATTTAAGATACAAGATATGTTTACGCTGATGAAACTACGCTTTATTTAGCTACTTTATGCCATAAATTTCATTGTTTACATATAGAGCACACGTTTATATGCTCAGCGAAGAGAGAGAAAGAAAGCGAAAAGAAAGAGAAAGGTTAATAAATGGACAATAAGAAGAAAGGAAGAGGCAAATAGATGAGTAGCAGGAAGGAAGACTGATGTATACCAGACATATTGATATCATCACAGTAAGATCTACACTATAAAAGTTACTATTTCAGTTCTCTTTTGTCTTTTGACGCGGCATCCCAGCTGTCGTTTTTCCTACGACCTCCGTGAAATATCCACTTTTTCATAAAAAGTTCTTTACGCAGAAATGAGCTCCTCGCGAAATCTCTATATCTTCATTTCGGAATAAGGTACATAATGATTCAATATTACATTTTGTAAAGAACTATTTGCTCTTCCTAACTACTGAGCTAGGCAATCTTTAGCATCTTTTCAAAGGCACTTATAAAGGTTAGAAAAATCTGTTGTTCATCGTTTGAGCTGGCCTTTTACACTTTAACAAAATTTGATTACTACTTGCGATCAAAAGTAAACAAAATTTCTAGTCCGATATTCAGAAAGAGCACAAAATGCTGGTACTAGATCGTAGTTTTTAACTCATATGACATACTTTCAAGCAGACTACAATAAAAAATATGTTGTACAGAAACTTCGACTCACTCCTTCCATCTAAACTAATTTTTCATGTCTTTCAAAGATTCCCTCACTACTCTGGAACGAAATTAGAGAAAACTTTCTGAACTCATATTCGGAAAGAGAATCGAATTCGAGTTCTAACTCTTACGAGGGAAGGGCCCAATTGTCCGATCGCTTTTTCCTGAAAAACTAGTGGGTTGTAGGTAATCCAGCATGCTGATTCTGAGTATGGTACTCATTTGGACCGCTAGTCATTTATTATCCCAATTTTTGGAAAAACCTGTTTTCACATGGAAGAGGTGATCGCAAAACCCGCAAAATCATATTTAGTTCATTTCTAGAACGATTATTGGGGGCATCACAAGCGCTGTAATCCTATTGGATTAAAAATTTCAACGTTTTTTTTTCGTATTTTCACTGATAATAGTTACGCTCAATCTCTTGTTTCCACATTTTAGGTTTACGAGTTTATATTATTTTAGAAGCACTCACCGACGCAATAGTACATAATATCTTCTATTATTAAAGATCTGTCAACATTTGCAAGGTAAGTAACTCATCATGGTTACATTTTTTTCTTGATTCTATACTTATTTTTATATCTTAAGAGTGGTAAATCCTGTGAATACTGTAGATTGTTTTTGTGATTTGGTGAAAAACAATCTTTGTTTACATTCAACATCGGATATCTCACCAAAAGAACGTGAAATTGCTAAGCATTTGTGTGAAACAATTGTAACATTCAATAAATGTAAAAGATTTGAATACGAAGAGGAGACGACATTGGATCTTGATGAAATGTCAGATGATTACGAAAATGAAGTTAATGATAACATTTTTCATGATAATGATAGTTCTGAAGCTGATGATGAGTGGGGATCAGAGGGAAAAGAACGAGAAGCTTATAGCGTAAAGGGCTATTCTTTGGAATATATGAAACAAGTTGTTGGTTATGCTGGTGCTAAAGATTCATCGGGTAAACGAAGAAGATCATGGAAGACAGTGCATCATAAATACAAAAAAGGTTCCAGATCAATCATACATAAGTCGGTTCCGTAAGTAAATTGAACAACAGGGCACGAAACGACAAAAAACAAAAAATTTAGATGAGATGGTGTTCAAAATGTGCGCAGGGGCAATATAAAAGAGTCTTATGGTTCATGATATTGATATTAAACGATGGGGTTTGAAAATAGCAAAAGAAATTAAATTACATAAATTTAGTGCATCAGACAGATGATTAGGAGATTTCAATGGTAGACACGGAATAGTTTCTCGTCGGGTAACAAATATTGTAACAAAACATGAGGTAGCAAATCAGGAATTGATTGAAAAACAGAAAAAGATTTCATCAAAGATTTTTATAAGTACTCTTCTCATTTTAATCCATCACAGATTCTGAACACCGATCACGTTGGCATTGAAAAAGAAGTACATTCAACCAGAACATTATCATTTGAGGGAGAGAAAAAACGTTCGGTATGGTAGCCTAAAAAATGCAACCACTCACTCTTATACAGTGCAACCAACGATTTCACTTGATGGAAAACAGGTAGGCCCTATTCTATTATGCTTTCAGGAGCCGAAAGGTAAGATAGGAGAAAGTGTTAAAAATAAGTTGTTTAAGCCTTCTAATGTTGTAATTGCATGTTCAGCATCAGGCAAATTAACACCATCTTTAGTTGCCTATTGGCGTGATAATTGTCTCTTACCTTCTATTGGAGATAAATGCCTTTTACTTTCTGACAGTTGATCCGCTCAGAATGATATTTCGTTGTATGATAAAGTCAATTATCAAAAGAAACATATAACACGAATTCAAATTCCACAGAAAACGACAAGTGATTTACAACCATTGAACATGTATTACAACAGACAGATGAAAAAATTTATTGAAAGAATTTATAATAGAGTTGCTTTGGATGTAATACCAATACATATGTATGAAAGAAATAATATAATAAAGATTGCATCATTGGTTCGTAATTAGCTTTCAGCACCAATCTTTCGTCAAATGATACGTTATTCTTGGTATGCAAGTAGATTGTCAAAAACAGATCCAACTACTTTTTTCAATATCAATGAAGTATGTTTTCCACCAATTACATCACATGAAGAGTGTTCAGTAAATAACTGTGGCGATGTTGTTTTAATTACTTGTGCATTTTGTTCCGAGAAATTTTGTTTCCATGACTTTTTTGTCAACTACCATTTCCATGATTAAAATGCAGAGTGTGAGTATCGAAATATCTGTTCTCACCAAATATTAAAACTTTTTCCTCGCTTCTAGATTGTACGCAACTCTAACAGTGAAACAATTGAGAAAATTTGTTGAAGAAAAGAAAATTTTGGTTTAGCACTGTATTTAGCGTTCATGCGGCATTTTCTGTTGTTTCGCTTATCTTATCGTTGCGTATCTTATCTTTGGTTGGTTTCTCTTTGTTTATGTATAATTACATTTGTGTTCCTTTACGTTTTTTTATTGAAAAGAACTATTTAAGTAATAAAACAAATACAGAAATCAATTAATCTGTACATGTCATGACTTTCAGTGTGCGAGGTAAAGGTCTATACGCTAGGTTTTAACTTAAAAGGCGCCTTTCTTTCAAAATACTATATTTATATCGGGCTCTACAGATGTCCCTAGCAAATCAGTGGTGGGCAGAAATGACGCTTCTTCACTGAATGAGGTCTACGCAAGCTTCTTCCTGTCCTGGTAGTCGAAGTTCATTCAAAATTCTAAAAGAATTGGACGTAATACAAATTTCCTCTGCGACGAGAAAAAACAAGCCAAACCATAAAAAAGCTTTCCTCCAGTATAATCCCATCGATTGTGACGCCCACAATAATCGTCCTAGAAATGAACTAAATATGATTTTGTGGGCTTTGCGATCTCCTCTTCCATGTGAAAACATGCTTTTCCCAAAATTGGGATAATAAATGGCTTGCTGCCCAAATGATTATGATACTCAGAATCAGCATGCTGAATTACGTACAACCCATTAATTTTTCAGGAAAAAGCGATTGGACAGTTGGACGTAAATATAAGTAATGACCGATGACATTATTTTTAATCGTTCTCAGTTGCTACAAAGACTTCAGAAAAAACAAATATACTGAAAGATAGCCCATTTAGTTCTCTACAAAATCCTTATCGAACAACCTTAAATATCAACATGTTTTCTTAACCAGTGATTTCCTTTACTTCCCGATGAACCTTTAAGCAAGGTTTAAAACGATCGTCGTAAGTAGTTTGGAATCCTCTTATGTACTCAGTCGCATCCTTCTTGCGTTTAAAAACCAATCAAACTATAATTGCTCCTCTCAGAACTAATAACAGACATAATAACAGATAGAAAGAAATTTTCAACAATCTAACATTAGAATAAATCATAATTGATAAAAATGTTTTCATTCCTCTCTTTATCGCTACTTCGAGTAGCACCTATTAAAAAAATCTTTAGCATTTTTAGCATTATAATGATAACAAAGTATCCGATTTCTTTTGTTTTCAATCTTTCCATTGTGTTATTTTAATGAGAAAACATTCAATTTTCTGTGATTTAGCAAACTATTGCTTTGGAAGATATCAGATATATTGAATTAATCCTCATCAAATAAAAATCTTCTATAAAAATCTAACCGAATGAGTCTCTACTGCAGTTATTCTTTCAACTTCAATTATCGCCACAACTATGGTTTACCTTCGAATTTTAAATTTTCTGACAGGAATTAGTGTTGTTACAAGTGTTGATATACTTGTACCTATATCAACTAAAAGTACTTGATCCATCATTTTATCCACATATTCTTCATTCATCTCAACCACGACGACTTAATTTATCTCATGAATCATCATTACATACAAATACATTTTATATTAATTCACTACTAGCTGAATATTAGAACCCAATTATCATACATCGATTTGCACTTCTAATTAATGGCGATTCACAGTATGGTATTTCAGTACCTTTTACAGAATAATTAATGTTTGGACAACAAATTAAGAATACAAGAGTTAAACATTTTATGAGCATAATGTTAAAAAATATTCAAGTTAGTGTAATAGAATTTTCGGCAAAAGTTTTGAAATTATTAATGTTGATGACTTTGGTTTTGGTTTAACATTAAAACTGCGACTAATAACTTATCAAGCGTCTATAACAATGCTTATTGTATATGGTATGACATATGCCACATCTGAATATAATTTACCAACACCAAAAATGTCAACTACACATTCTAACGACTGATTCAAAAGTTCCTGGAAAAATGTCTCTCCATTTTTCATCTGCAAAAATAGGTTCCGAAAGAGTAAAAAATACCTATGCAGAATCTACGTTAAAACAGCTTTCTATCTGCGCATTCAAATAAATGCTATTATGTATTTTTCCGGAACAACGGGCACACCTTTCGACGGCCATAAAATGTAGTCTGTCAAAAAAAAATAGATCAATATTTTTTTATTTTCTTTTGTTTATTCCTTCAGAATTATTCAATTCTTTTTTTTATCAGATTCTCCGTTTAATTAGGCACGAAAAAGGCAGAAAATATTGTGACATTGTTTTAAATAGCGTCGGGAAGTTTCGACGTATTGATATCAACAATATTTCGGATCAACGATAAGCACGATTCGATTTATTTTAAGGAAATGGCGCCACTGAAATATCGATTTCTTTTGACGCAGGCATTTCGAGCTGTTTTTACAGGCAATATTTTAATGCATGCGAAAGATGTACTCGTTACTCCAAGGCAGTACATGATAGAACCTTTTTTGAGTACACATATAGAAAACTCTTCCAACGTAGATTCTGAATAGGTATTCTTTAATTGTCTAAAATTTTCTTTTGCAGATGAGAAACGAAGAGATTTTTTCCAGAAACTTTTGGATGACCTGTTATATCCGTAACCCCTTAAATCTATATCTAGCATCCTTATTTCTACGCTCAACCTCGTATTTTATCCTTAGCCCTTCATATGCATAGTCAACTTGCGTTCTTCTATGCTAAATTGTTTATATGTGTCATTACCAACTGATTTCCCTTTTTCATAATTAATCGCTTATATATCTAAAATTAAGCGTAAGTTAGTAGTGTAAAGTTAGCATAACTTGAACTACCGATAATTCTTTCTATGAATCAATATATTTTTCCAATTCAAATCTATGACCTGTTTCGTTTTATTGAAAACGTGAGAAAATTTGTAAAAAGTAAGCTGAACATAGGAAAGTCGAACGTAGAATAGGTTTCTTGGAACAGTATGAAGATTCTTAGTAAGATTTTGTTCCAGAAGATTCTAAATTTTTCTGAACATCGCAAAATCTTTACAAATTTTCGATCGAAAATTGAAAATGGATTTAGGTTTTCCATTATACATTTTTCTGTTTCAGGAAGCTTGAAAATCTTTCAAGTTTCTGAGAAAGTACCACAGAAACTGAAAAGGTTTTTCTGCATACCCATTATACTTTTCCCAGAGAGCGAATGTTTTTTAGAATGTTGGTACAAACAGGGAAAACGTAAATGATATTCAAATTATATATGCCATGGCAAAATTCGTTTTCAATAAACACATTTAAAATACTAATATTTATTTTAAGGAACTCATTTGACAATTAGATTTTAGTTGTTTGATTAAGTTTTCATACATTATGCATAAAAAATGCGTATAAAACTAAACTCATTTTGAATTAGCTCATAGACATAACATTTTTCTTACAAATTATATTATTTCCAAATTTCAGATTGATAAAAATATTCATGTGATGTTAATATCAATCATTTTGAAACTCTTTTTCATTTCACAATGTTTTATGCAAACAAACAATGTCTGTGATGCTTTTTCTCAACAAGACGAATCAGCATATATTGATGCTTTTAGTACTCTAATAAAAGATTCCTATTCAGCACCGCTTCCTCGAGAGCTGACAACCACATGTAAGAACCAAAATAAAGATTCAGTGTCAACAGTTAAATCAATAACAACTTCAATGTTATCATCTGATTTACAAATATTTTGTGGTACCGAAACCATATGCACGATACCAGCTGGCTTTACAGTTACAATGAATAGCAATTTAAATGTTGCTGCTTTAGTTTTGAGTGGTTCATTAGTTTGGAATGACGTTAGCCAGTCTTCAAGTGATCAGTGGCTGTGTGCTGGTTACATTGCGGCAAGATATTTGCTTTGTAATTTAACCAGAAATTGAGACATTGAGTATTTATTTCTACAGGTCAACGGAGGCCAATTCGACATGAATCTAGCGAGTAAACAAGGTTATATTTACATAAAAAATAATGGTCTCAAGCATCCAACGGTTTATACTCGCGCTTTTGGTGCCTATAATACCGGCAAAATACGTGTTAGTGGTCGTCCTCTTGCTAGAACTTGGTCTTTACTAGCTGACAGAGCGACATATGGCATGAGTTCAATTAGTCTCTTGCACAAACCTGAAGATATGGTTAGCATAGAATTTCTCAGTGGTTTTCATTATACTTCAAAAGCATTTATTATACTTTAGGGCTGGAGAGTTGGCGATAGAATTGTTATAGCTCCCACTATGTCAGGCTCAAGAGGTGATGCTGAAGATTATACGATTGGAGGATTCGAGACTAATAATACTATAAAATTGCTCAATAAAGACGGAACTTCTATTGGCGTTATATCATCATTTTTTGAGTCAAAAACTCTGTTTACAGGGGAAAATATGTCTGCTCTCATGCAAGCTGAAGTCATCAATCTTTCACGTAATATTATAATTACCGGAGATGATTTTCAGCATGTTAATTGCGTGAACGATGTAGCTGACGGCAAACCAAGCGATAGTATTCAAGCCGATCATTGCTCATGTTGGAAGCATATTAACCGAAGTAAATGCACTCTTGGATTGCATACAATCGCGGTTGGGCCTGGCTCTGTTCTATCTTTACAATATACAAGAATTGAGAAGTGTGGCCAACGTGGTATTTTAGGAAAATACTGTGTTCATTTACATGTAATTACTAAATGTTCTGATTGTAAAATTATTGGCAATGCTGTTGAGTATGGCCATCAAAGAGGTACTACCATTCATGGAACGCATTTAGCGACCATAGAGAATAATGTTTACAATGACATTCGTGGTGCAATAATATATATCGAAGATGGAAATGAAATGTATAATAGAATATTTTATAATGTTGGAATATGTCCTTGGGCAAAATCCGGAGAAAAAAGGGGATGCACTGTACCAGGTGGGTTTTAAATTTCAAAATGTCCATAGTTTTGTTTTTAAAATTTTTGTTTTTAAAGGCACAGATAATGATCAATCTGATACTACATTAAATCAAGCTGGTTTGTGGGGTTTGAGTTTTACTAACTACGCTATTGGAAATCGTTTTGCTAATAATTTTAATGGTATGTTGTATCAAGAGCAAGGATTCGATCGTGGTCGAGGCCACGTAAATGGTTTAGAATGCCCCAGTTTTCAGCAAATTGGAAGATTAGAAGGAAATACTTTTCACGGTTGTGGAAGATTTGGTACATATGTACTCGCAAGTGTGTTCCCAAAAAAAACCGACAGGTCGGTTGATAAAAATGGTCTACCAACTTTAAGCACATGTAAAGAATGGAGTGCAATTGGTGAAGATAACGGATTACCAGCGACATTTATGCACAATATAGATTATGACAATGTATTTGTAGGCCAATATAATGCTGGTGATTTACAGTATCGATTTCATACAAGCATTAATAACAACAATTTGATTTACTGGAAAGAAACGAAAAATTTTCAAGATGGTTGCTCCTCTCACATTGCTGACTCGTTTTATGATTCAGGCAATTTGGCTTTGCCTGGTGGCCACGGAGCGTTTATTTTAGAAAATATGATTTTCAATAACGAAGTTAGCTTTGAGTCAAGTCACCATTGTCAAAGTGGAGTAACTGGAGGTAGCGGATGTTTCTTATTTATCTTTGTAATTAATTTTGTAATTTAAAAACTTCATCTAAAGTACTTTGCATGCCAACTTATGTGTTTGTCAATATGAAATGGACTGGTGTTACATCTGAAAGATCTTCGATCTTAAAGTGGGGACCAAACAATGGCGCTATGTTTACACTTGGACCTGATGATGAAAAAAATTTAAGTGGGAATAAATTATTTCCTGCTGGCTTTTGCTCTATAGTCAATCCATATTGGTAGGATTTTTTCTCTTTCCTTCCAAAGAACTCTTTAATTTATTTAATCTTTGTCTAAGGTCCTATCTTTTAGCATTGGATAGTGGTGCTTCTTGTTTAAGTTCCAACGATGTTGCTAATCTTTTAAGTCAAGATACTGTTAAATTTACGAGAAAGTATGATGGTGGTATGTTGATAAAATAAAAAATTTAAAACTATCTTGCTTATTGATTAATTAATTGTCTAAACTTATTTAATTCTAATTGTAGGAGCTATTTTTTGCAAAAGGCCTGTTCGCCGACTTGAGGTATCATCATTTTTTGAAAAGTTCATAGGATTATTTTTTCTATATTCTCTTCAAATGTTTTAGATATTCTCATTTAATCAACATCTTACAAACTATCAACCCATGCAGTTGGAACTTTGGCAATTCGGTAACCTCATAAGCTCAGTTACTTTGAATTTTTTTCAAATTGGAGACAGAAAGCAAGGCTACAGTGCCACTGTAGTTCCTGGTTTGGATCACAAGTACAAATTGTCAATGACTGGCGGAGGAAATGTGTCTCCTGATTGGATTATTGAATTTTCTGACCCTATTTTTGGAAACCGTTGGAACAGAGATGAGATTGATCTAGTTGTTGTAGGTAGAAACTGTTCATATCCAGTTCACTCTCAACACGATCGGAGGTAACTTTTCTACAAAAGTATGCTTTTAAATAATTGTTTTCTTAAGATACATTTGGTCTGGAGATAATTACCTTAGAGTAAAAGGGAGAGGAGCTTGCACATCTTTTCCTGATACGCAACCCGTTGACTGTAGATCTCAACCAAAACTAAGTAATATTGAGCATTGTCCAGGCAAATGCCCGAACGGGTGTACAAATGGATACTGTGATTGTGCAACAGGAGAGTGTTTGTGCAATCCTGGATTTTCTGGTTCACATTGTAATATTGACACTTGTGCTGCTGCTGGATGCATCAATGGTAATTGTGTTGCTCAATATCTTGGACAAGAGTTGCTTGTCACAAATAAACCATGTGTTTGCATTGATGGTTGGTATGGCGGTAAATGTAATACAACAACGCCGCCACTTCCAGTTCCAGACCCAGTTCCCACGTGTTTTAACGGATGTTATTTTTTCACCGACAGTGAAATTACCGGTGGAGAGCTTGGGGTTATTCAAACATCAGATCCAAAAGCTTGCTGTGCTGCGTGCAATGCGAATGCAGCCTGCAATTCATGGGTTTTGTCTGTTATTTGCTTTTTAAAAACAGGAACACAAAGAATACACAAATCTGGAATCATATCAGGAATTAAATGTTCAGCCGGAACAGGTTCTGGCACAATTCCGCCCGTTACCGCAGCACCTGACACAACCCACTGTGATGGTAGATGCAAAGGTCAATACCCTTACGGTTGCAATTCAGCCTTTCAAATTGGATATTGTAATGCAGGAGGTGGGTGTGCTTATTCTACAATGGATGATCCTAATTGGTGTTGTTTCAATGGTTGTAATCAACAATCATCTGCCACAAATCCATCAGTTATGACCAATGCGCCGACTGATATACCTACAACAATTACTGCAGCACCTGTATCAGCTACCTGTGACGGCAGATGCGCTGGAAAATTTCCTTACGGTTGTAACTCTGGGTTTTCTATAGGATACTGTAATGCTGGTGGTGGCTGTAGCTATTCTACAATGAATGATCCCAGTTGGTGTTGCTTCATTGGTTGTAATCAACAGCCATCTACCACAGACTCACCAGCTTTGACAAATACACCGACAGATGCATCTACAACAGTTACCGTAGCACCTGTATCAGCTACCTGTGATGGCATATGCAAAGGTCAATACCCTTACGGTTGTAATTCAGCCTTTCAAATTGGATATTGTAACGCAGGAGGTGGATGTACTTATTCTATCACTACTCACCCAAATTGGTGTTGCTTCAAAGGTTGTAATCAATAATCATCTTTCCCAAACGCACTAGCTTTAAAAAATATACTCATATCAGCGTCATGTGATGGAAAATGAACTGGAAATTTTCCACATGGTTGAAATTCTGTTTTTTTTTCTATAAGAAACTGTAATACAAGTGGTGGATACAGCTATTCTATAATAAATGATCCTATTTGATGTTTTTTCAAACGCCCTTTTTAAGTGCTATTGTTAGGGTGTGGCCATAGCGGAAGACTGTTGAAAACCCACACACCATAACATCTAAAAGCCGAATGGTGCTCCCATGAGACATTATGATAACTGACATAAAAACCATTTAGCAAAACCTCCATGTTCAAAAATGAATAGGTTTTCAGACTATGATAGAATGATAGACGATAGACTGAAAAACAGACGCTTTTAAATGACGTCCCAATGAAATAATTAATTAATTACGATTAAAACAGTTTTATCAACGTAAATTTTTGATTTTGTGATTGACACAAAAAAGAAAAAACAATTAATATGAGTTTCCTTTCCGTAACCTATCCTTAATCTGGTCAATAATTTTTCTTTTGACCAAAAAATAAAAGAACGGAAGTATTGGTTCATCAATTATTTAATCAATGAAAATCAATGAAATACGTTTCCCAGTCGACCATTGCCTCCTCTCTCTGAAAAAGAACAATATATAATTTATAATTTATAATATTCACCCGACTCAAAGTTCCATGGCTATAGACGAAGCAATTAGGTTTCTAGAAGTCGTCGACAGTTATCCATATTAAACATGGCTGAAAGCAAATCTACAAAATATTGTTTATTGTAGACAAAACAAACTGATGAAATCGACATTGTCAGAAATTTAAATACAAAAGAACAAATTATAATATGTAACTTGCAATTTTTTGCATTATTCGTCAAAATAAGAAACTTTTATTTAATAATTATAGTTATTAATGAATTGAATGGATTTTTCTCCGCTAAACAAATTCAAATCTTCGATAGTTTAACAAAAATTGTTTTTCGTGCGCCGTTGCTTGTTTTTATTTGTGAAGCATTCTTATATAACGGGTGAATCAGAATAAATTGCACTAAATGCTTTTCGTTTTTTCGGTCATTTTCTGTCAGGAAATATATTCATTTTTATATTAAAAGATAGAGAATTTCAAGCTCTACAAAACGGTCTACTTTGCTTTTCAAATGCATTTTTCTTGTCAACGCTTAATAAAAAAAGACTGACATCTTCTTAATCGTCCAGCTGCGATTTGCTGTTTTCTGCTGACATCGATCGATCAATGCAAAGTTTTATTCATTAAGGCCAATGCTAAATATAAAGTATTTAACACTTATAGATAGAGAATTTTGTGGTCTAATCTTCCATGACCTTTTCAAGGTTCCTAGTGCAGTTGCTCAGGAGAATAAAGCTGGGAACTGATGCCTACCATTATTTTAGGGTGTACTTTGGAGAATCATGTTGTTAAAAGTCAAAGTTGCTCTATGAAAGATTTGTAATTATGCCATCGGATGTAGAATTCAATTCTGAGCAAAATAGTGTAATTGTTAAATTGCTGTGTGAAAAAATTTACATTATTTCGAACTAAAAAAAGAACCATGGCCCAATTGCAGCAGAAAACAGCTTTTTCGTTATTTTCAAGTATTTTCTTTCGAATCTGTTTCTCTCAAATATTTTCTTTAAAATTCAGAAACGTACAGTCAAAGATGCAGCATTTTATGGAGATTTTTGTGGCATAGTTTAAATTTTAGCTGGATTATTATTTTAAAAAATCTCATCATCTTTTTCGGTTTTTATCGTCGCAGTTGCATGATTGAGTAGATATAAGTCTTTTTAACCAGGCACCGACATGAAGACCGTATTTTAAAAGCAAAATAGGTAGTTTTGTAGAGGTTACAATTCTTTATCTTTCAGTATAAAAATGAATATATTTCCTGAGAAGAAAATGAACGAAAAAAATAAAACACCTTGAGTGCAATTTATTCCGGCCCACCCGTTATTCATTACTTGTTGCTAGTTAAATAGACGTTAAAGCATATTCAAAACGTTGTCATTCAATATAAGGGCAAATTGGTTTATAACGACATAAAATTTGAAAATTTTCCAGATGTATTTGTTCAACATGACGATGAAAACGTCCAGGTCGTATTAGATAATATGATGTGCAAAATATTACTATTATTAAACAAAGTGATTTCATGATATGAGTATGCTTTCGGTATCTTCAGAAAATGAGCAGTAGCAAGTTGTCACAAAATTTTATGAAATAAAAGCTATCAAAATGATTAATAAATCAGATCATCTGAATGTCTTAATATGCTTTTTAATGAAAGTTAAACTGTTAACTTATTTCAATCTATTCTCGACATAAACAATTATATTGTAGAAGCAACCCTGAATATAACCAGCAAATTGATACATTTCATATGGTAGTAGATATTTAGTGCAATCGAGAAAAAGTCTAATGGACTCTTGTCAAAAGACTTGCCCTATTCGATACGCTATTGGCGAATGCCTAGTTGAGTAAAACCATGATAATTATGAGGAAGATGAGAAAAAAAGATTTAGAAACTGTTGATGTTGTCAAACTTTATGTAGCTTTTCACTTTGAAATGCTGATAGAATCAAGCGTACGAATATTAAACAATGAATAAAATGAAAAGATACAATCGCAATAGGATCAAGTGCGGGTGTATATTTAAAGAATATCAACACCCACACCCTCATACAGATCAATTTCATATTTGTCTCCTTCAAATCTTATGCGATGCAAGCATAGACAGATTCGGTGCGAAGGATAATTCGAAATATCATCTTCGATCATTAAAATACATTACTGACTGATCTATGCGTGGCACACTAATTGCACGAAGACTTTTTTACCATGAATGTATCAGTGGTTCGTTTTATGTCTTGCAATGGAGAATATTCATGTTATCAGTAGATAAGAGAGCTCTATGTCATTTGTAGAAAAATAAGAGTTTGTAAGATAAATATAAGTATAACGCTTTGCTGCTCCTCAAACCATATTGTGATTAGCCTCAAACTCCATGGTTATCTATGAATGTATGTCATCCACACTTGGAACATTAAAATTGATTATTGGCGATGCATCATTCCCATTGGTCAGATTTGTTTGTTCTTCGAACCAATCTGTCTCCAATTTTTTTCTCGTCTATGTATATTTTTAACAATAATGAGTACGAGCTATTCTGTAAGGTTTTCAACAATGTTTGCAAGTCTTGATTTGTTAGAACACGTATTTGCAATTGTTTTAATAAATTTTTACTCTTAATGCTGTTTAGAAAAGTAAAGTCATTCGCCATTGTATTGCAGACGTGTAAAGTAGTTAAATTGGGACGACGTGGAAGGAGCTAAAAAAAACCATTTGATTCAGCTTTGCTGGATAGGTTAATTCCAATTGTTGTACGCTGGTTAGATTAAGTACATTCGATAGTAGTTCGACTATGTTCTGTATCTCTATTTCAATCTTAAGAGATAATTTTCTTATATTAGAAAAGTAGTAACGATCTAGTCTGTTGTAAGGCAGAATTGGACTTGTTATTTGTGCACGATAATTCTCATGCGCAGACAATGCTGTTGTAAGATGTAAGGAATATGGTTCGCAGCAAGGTAAAGTGTAGAGAATAGTTGTTTCATCATTCGTTTGGCTATACACAAACCATTGATGTTTTTCAAGCCAAAATTCATTTTTAAACGAGCTAATTATAGGGTCTAAATCAATGCTGATCCATTCACCATAGTGACATTCTCTAGAGTAACAAATAAAAACGAAAGGCAAACAGTCGTTTTTTTAATGCTTTCTCAATAGTCTGAAATTTTACGTCTACTTTCTGTACGTATTAAAGAATCTTATATTTTACAATATGTGATCACCGGTCAGATTTCTACTTCTTGATAGCTTATAATCTATCATTTCATCCTCTCTCCCTACTTACATATACTTCCAGTTATTTTCGTTTGTTACACAAAATCGAAATTGAAAACACTTTAACGACGGCACATAATGTTCAAGTATTTGTTCCCATGATTTCCCATCGAGAAATGCTTCATGTACGTCACCTACGATAACTAGTTGTTGAAGTTGCAACAATGAAGTACTGCTTACTTTGAATAATTTGGTCGCTGTGTCCATATTATAAAAGTTTGTGGCACCTGAAAAATTTACTTTCAAATAATATAATGTCGGTGGAATGTGTAAAAGCAGCATGCTGCCGACATTTGTTTTTTGTTCATCATTGCCATAGAATTCATAGAGAGTTAAAGTTAATTTTTTAACATCGGTGTTCGTTTTAAGAAAAAGTTGGCATTGTCTACATAACAATGTAATGCTAAAACTTCAATATTTGATGATGAATAGTTGTAGTCAGTGGAAGCTGCGTCTGGCTCATAGTGTAGAATAAAATCGAGTGCAAGTGATTTTAACTTAGGAATTCGATTTAAAAATAGTTGTTCGAATATTAATTGATTATCATCGTCGGGACTATCGAAAATAACAAGTTTTGATAATTGACGTAATTGATGAAGATTAAAAATCAAGGAGGGAAACGTTAGTTGCGAGATATTGTTTAACCTTAAAGATTGAAGATTTTCAACGTTCTCAATCGAAAACAACTTAAAAGACTGATGTGTATAGTCGCGCTCATCGTTCATCACTAACAATCGAAGAGAGCAAACTTGCGATGGCTTTAAATTTTGCAGCAGGCATCTGAATCGGGACTGTCGTAGATCATTATCGATTTCTATTGAACTCCAGTGAGTGTTAATTAGATAGATGAAGCGCGAGTTAAGATCAGAAAAACTTCGCAGAATTTCACTAAATGAAAGATAACCGAAACAGCAATAGATTAACTCGTTTGGACAATGAAGAACGTGTGATTGTGCAGTCATCTAAAACGTGAGAAAATTCTATGAAGTAAAAAAATGAATTAATCCGACAACTGTATTCATTATAAAAGAGAAAGTAAAAAATAGAAGAATTCATGCCCTGTCAGACAGTGATTGAATGCTTTTTTGCTAGATAGTCTTAAAGTAGAAATGCATATTCATATAGTTACTAGACACCAGCGCAATGCTCAAGGTTAAGCATAGTGATTATTTTGTTCTTGCTCTGTGTTTTGTATTTATTTTGACGTACTTGATATGTGTCCTTCGCTTTCATCCTCTTTCGTTCTGTCTGATGTTTGATTCCACAATGGCACGAATTCGCTCAAAGCGACCAATGCCCGAAAGTTTATGTGATCAAAGGATTTTTTCAGATGAACATCTTACTATCGGTACTACACTATTATAAATGGAGTCACCAGTACGCGTTCTTTAGTCGAATTCGATCGTTTTTTCCATGATATTATTTAACCTCGTCCATTGACAAAAGTAAGCGTGATGATCAAAATTTTACACTTTTTTCTTTAGAAATAAAATGCGCTACGACGCCAAATGACACAACGAAAGAGAAAAGGAGTTTTTATCGCGATTTTATGTGACTTTGTGAAATAAGCGCACACTTCTTGACTGAAATGATGCATTGCGTCTTGATGCCTCTTCATAAACACGTGTCGAAATTAACTGAAACGAATTAGTAAATAACCGCTTTTTTCTGGCAGCGATATCTATATTTTCAAAGACAATAGCCAAGATTCCATGTAATATAAATTAGTCTCAACGATCAAATTTAATGTTGACAACTATTATAAACATTGACTGATGTAAGTGCAGAAAGACGAACCACTCTTTTTAAACTAAACGTCATGTTCAATAAATGCGACATACGTATGTTAATCAATTTATATGGTAGGCTAATGAGACTTAGTTCTGGAAATTGAAAAATAGTTTGTATTTATTTTTCATAGCAAATTTTTAACAAATAACAACAAAATCTACATAGAACATATGAAAAGTCTTTCTCATATATGTTGTGTTTGACAAGGAAGGCGTAGTTATTTCTTCACAGTTGATATTATTGAAAATATCAGACAAGAAACACAAAGTGTTGCAAATGTAGAAAGCCGATAAAGAAAGAATCGATTCTAAAATTGAATAAAAAAATATTCTTCACAACGATATGTCTATATTTCGAAAAAAAAATCGATTTCAGCATCTTTAAAAACTTCCACCAGCGCGTCGTAATTAATAGACATGTATACGCCGAAGATTGTTACAGTAACTTCCTAATCATATAAATGGCAATCACATTTTCTATAAAAAATAATTTCTGTAATTTGATAATTTAATAAGAGAAATTTGAAAACTTAGATATTATGAGTGATGTACACTTTGTTACTTACGTGCAACGTAGAAGATATCTACACAAACACGAAAAATATAAGCGCATAATTGAGACTACTATAAACATAATGCAGGAACTAATGATAGCAATTATGAAGCAAAGCAAGCATTGAGATGAATAGATAAAAGTCTAAATTTTAAGAAATTATGCTCGTGATTTTTACTATGCTTCGTACTTACATCATTGTAGATAGCATTCAGATGTAAAATACACATTTTTATCAGTTCACAAAGAACGATATTAATAATAAAAATGACGAAAATGGCTCTCAATAGATCAGTTATCTCATTCCTTTTCGGTTTTGAATAAAATCTTCGAGCGTACAGTATAACAGCTGTTAAATTTTATTTTGCTAAATTCGTCAATTTCTTATAGATCGATATGAGATGCTTTCTTATGCCTTATTTCTGTTCTTGCGACATTGACCATGTTTGAAATTGTGGTGTGATATAAGATGGATGATATCTGAACTTATATATAAAAATACAGGAATAACAATGTGACAGAAACGAGTGACCGCTAGACGTATTGATCAATCATATCTCTTGATGAAAGGCTTGCCCAATCGTATTTTTTGGGTATCATAGTTTTACTTTCTTTCGCTCTTTATGATGATATTATGATCGAATATTACTAGCCGTTCGTTAAAAAAATTAACAAATATTTTGTTTTTGCTTTCTATTGTATTTTTGAGAAATATTATCGATTTCTTGGGTTGGAGTTTGATTTGTTCTTCACAGATCCAACACCATCAACGACTTCAATGATTTCATCACTGATTGTATTTGATGGGCAGCCGCTTCGTGATGCATCTTCGAAGTCACGTTTTGCAATGTTGCAGTAACATGTAACAGAGTTCATATAAAAATTACACGGCTGCTTATGGATTTTTGAAGCATTCAGTCGTGTTAAAAGTAAAAAACTGTCTGACAAATCGTTGCTTAACATTTGACATATTTGAAATTTAGGCAGGCATGATTGTGAAAAATGTCTTTTTTTCTCTCTACGAAGTAAATGTGCGCAGTGCTATGTCATGCTTACTTTTGCATCAATGAACTTCGATAAAAAAAAAGCGTCAACGTAATTTTTTTAGATAGTGATGCGACCGCAATGGTCAATTTATTACATTTTCACGGTAAACTAAATGAGAATGCATAAAATAATATTTACAAGAGATTTACTATATAAAAAGAAGAATAGAATTATGCTCCGGATCGATTGAAAATGTAACAGTACAATCATTGTGGAGTGAAATACTATTGTTCCATATTAGACAGAAAACATTCAACGATATGTGAGAGTGGGAATAATTGTAGGTGTTACTGAATACATCCGACTAAATACTTTCGTTGACTTTGTTACAATACATGTTTTCTTTCGTGATTCAATCGCTAGTTGTCTTTCATCTTTGGTTGACAAATGATCGAATACTTCAAGCCATTGACGATCCTCTTCAATTAGCTGCTGTCGATAAACTAGAACGGCAGCATATAACTGTTGCATTTCTTCTGTAGATGAGTCAATCAAAGATAACATCAGATAGGTATTTAAAGTATTCTGTAAATATTGAAAATTGGTTCCATTGATTCCGTAAGATCGACCTATGATCTCTGCTTGTTGTTCGATCGATAATGTTACTGGTATGTATAATTGACTAAAACAATTGACAACACAAGTTAGTGCCCATTCAACAGTATTCCCATCGGACATTAGCACAGGAAGAAAGTCATATGTATAAATATCCATTTTGACACCATCAACATCGATTGGACTTTCACGATGGACGAATGCTTCAATAAATGGAGCCAATTGGTCAATGCCAGATATTAACAAATAACCCTTAACGAAACTATTTTCACATGGTTTCAAGCCCATGGTCAAGCCCGTACAGTCTTGTGTACCTCTATAAATGACATCATGGCATAAAAATCCTTTCCTATAACCAGTCAAGAAACAATTAGGAATGATTTTTTCGACATGTTCAAAAGGATTCCATATCAATGACGCATAAGCAAAAACAGCGATTGCTTCTTTCAATTTTACGTGTTCAATGATATTAGCTCGTTTCGTCGAATCACTATTCAGTCCATTCAATTGTTTCAAGGCATTATCCAAAGCACTTATTTGTTTCATCATATTTAGACACGACTAGCTTGTACACAAGAAACGGCGTGCCCTTTATCAGCTATTCTTCGCTCAAAGCATGTGGAAATTTCTTCATGACATCATGTTACCTATTTAAATAAATACTTTCAAATATATTACCTCATATATTTGTCATCAACAGTAAGGAAGAAAATTTAATGCAAATAATGTTTTTTCCCCGAAAACATTATATTCGTATTAGTACGTCAACCAAATGAAGCCACATAAATGAGATCGACAAAAAAATATAAAATCGAAAGATACGACGTCAAAAATAAGTATGGCTATAAATGACTGACACAGTAAACCGGCACTGTTCGAGTCTTTGTCTCGTCAATTTTGATTTTAAATTTAACAATAATCTTTGAATTAATATTTTACTTAAAAAGAAGCAAACAAAAAAAGAATCGTACATAAAGCAATTTTTTTTAAATTTTAAAACAAATATAAAATTCTGAATCTAAAGAGGAAATTAATATTAAAAGGGTGTACGTGCCATCGAGAGAGGATTTTAACAAACGAGTTTTGATGGATTAAATGAAATCTTAAATTGGAGTATAGACTTCAGACTTTAATACTATTGAATATGATCTCAAACATTTCGATATATTCTGTATGGCACATTCTGAAAACATTTTTGAATCCAGCAATCAGTACTTTTTTTTTGTCAAAAAGATCATAATACTGTTTCGGATTTTATTTTATTGAACAGTTCCGTTTTCGTACCAGACCAGTTTAGGCTAGTCCTACCTCGATCAATGATGATCGAAAAGACATTTTTATTTAGAATGTATGACGAATCCGATTCGAGGTAAAAATAAATGATCGTTACTATCGACATGTATTGATGCAGCATTTGAAACTTTCTTCTACGCAGACGTTGATTCATGAATGAGGTACGAAATCATTTTGGTTGTAACTATAGTGACTTACTTTGCGTTCACCACATGTAAATGTCCCGTATTGATTCAAGCATACATTTTATTTTGAAAACAGCAAACAAAAGAGAACATTCAAATGGCTTCATCAACTATAGTGAATTCTTGGACAGAATGGGGTCCATTAGAGCTTGTTTGTGTAGGCAGCGCTCATGGCATGTGCTTTCCAGATGAGACTCCAGCGTTTTCGAGTATTACAGGACCATCCAATATACGCCCATATCTTAAATCGATTGTAGGACCACGACCTCTTCGTCGTATCCAAGAAGCCCAAGCTCAATTGGATCATTTGGTTGATCTATTAAAAGCTGAGTCTGTTATAGTTGCAAGTTCAATTGAAGATACATTCAATGAGGATATTGGAGAAGTTCTCACTCGAAAACAAACATCAATAAATGAAAGTTCTCATGCAACTGACGATAGGATTCTTCACAAAGATAAGATCGATGTGTGTCGGCCAACCTCGCTTTCCAATGAACAACTGAAGTTTGATCAGCATTTAGTCACACCTAATTTTACATCGACATATCAATTTGGTTTAGCATGTCCTCGTGACGTAATAATTACATTGGGTGACACAGTGGTAGAAGCACCCACTGCCACTCACTTTCGATATTTTGAAACCGAATATTACAAAACTCTACTTTATTCCATATGGTCTCGAAGTTCAAATATGAAATGGTTACAACCTCCAAAGCCTACATGTTCACCGACGCGTATGTTTTATGATGTTAACTACTGGCAAAGAAACAGCCATGATAAAGTGCCCACTTCAATTGATTCAAATAGTAGCTACAAAACAAATTTGAACGAGACAGAAATTGCTTTTGACGCAGCGGATATTATGCGTGCAGGCAAAGATATTTTCTATAAAAAGTCTAAAACTGCCAACAACCAAGGTATACATTGGCTTCGTCGTACGTTTCCTCATTTACGTTTCCACATGATGCATTTCCCAGGCAATCTTGATCGCCATCTGGATACATCACTAGTACCACTTCGACCGCCAACATCAGGATCTCCAGGTATTGTTCTCATAAATCAAAATCGTCCTCCTTTGGTCAGTGAAATGAAATTGTTTACTGACAATGATTGGCGTCCAATATGGGGACCTTTGCCTGCTACCGATACGTTACCACCATTTGCACTGTGCTCAAGCAATCGCAATTTGAACTTACTTTCACTCAATGATCATTGCGTTATTATTGAAGAATGCGAAATGCCACTATATCGATTATTACATGATGAAATGGGCTTTGATGTTATTACATGCCCTTTTCGCGTACTAAATGAATTCGGTGGTGGTATTCATTGTGGTAAATTTTGTTTTAGTTGCTTATCTTTTTCTTACTCGAAATAAGCCATAATGGTTTTTGTTTATTTAGTGACATGGGATATTCGTCGTCAAGATTCTTGCATAGACTATTTTCCAAACCAGGACTACGAAGCGGAATGCCTATTAGAGTTAGACAACTATTCCGACGTAGTAATGTTAGCTCACCACGTTGAAAAGAAACTCTGATTAATATCACTGAAAACACATGTCATTTTAGCTTCGTGTTAATAATGAAAGACAAAACAAAACATAAGGGTACGGGTGTGCATAAGTGTCTTTTTGTGGCACTCACATATATTTTCGAAGAAAATGGGTGTGTGGGTGTAGAGGGGGGTGTACCTAGTGTGGGTGTGGGGAGGGGTACCTAGTGCGGGTGTGGGGTATTTTCCCTCCAGTCTCTGTAAGGGATACGTGACATCTAGCTAGCGCTATACCGCTATAACACTAAAACAGTCTAGCGGTATAGTGCAGAAACGTGCACAGGGCAGGAAGGTCCTGTTGTCCTGTCTTGTCCTGCCGCCCGCCCGCCAGGACGAAGATTATGAACAGGGCAAACACGCACAGGATAAAGTCTCGATTTTCGTCCTGTCCTGTCGCCAGCCAGGACCAAGGTAGCCAACAGGACAGACAAGGGCAGGAGAAAAAATGAACTCCTGCGCACGTCTCTAATATAGTGGTATAGCGGTATAAGCATTTTTAATTTGCCGCAAGTTCAAATACCCCATTAAGTCCCTTAGAGACCCTCCATCTTACATTACAGATATTAGCAAGCATGCAAACATTAAATAAGACATTTTTTCCTACCGATCTTGAGGGTGTGGGTTTGAGTATCAGTTTTGGTTTAACCTACACCCATAGCGTCGGCTTGGGTAAATTTTCTTTTGATGACGCAACCGTATAGGACAAGATCGTCACTTTTGGTATCTATCTCAAGTGCCTTTTCTTGTCTCTCATCAGTCACAATTTTTCTGTTTCTTTCACCAGGCGTATGACTGGAGAAAAATCGTCCATTTGAAGTAAACTCTACATGATGGACGCAACTATGTAAAATTAGATTTCAAAACACATATTTCTATCAACAGCACCATTGACAATCACTCCGATGAGAATTTTCTCTGTTATATGGAACACATTTTGACGTCTGCGCGAGACATTCAATTGCTCTATCGACTAGATCACAATATTCAGCTTATCAGCGACTGGAAAAAAACGCATCTTTGACGCAATTAATTGGACTATGAAATGGTTGCCAACTTGTTATCGAGAGCTTGACCAAGAATTCTTTAGGAAAAGAAGACTTCCATGACACATCACTTACGCTGTTCTGGTGAAGTAGTTAACATATTGAGTGATGTAAGTTTAAAATTAGTTAGCTTGTGTGTCTTATAAGTTTGTTCTCTGCAATTTCAGGTACTAAAACAACTAAAACAGGCTGATCAAAATCTCACTACAACCTATATTCACACGAGTAATGCTGACTGCTGCAAAATTTCAGATTCACTGACGCAAGTGTTCACAAAATAACATAATTCTCACCTTGTTATTTCTCATGTTTCTAATATTGCTAACGTATTCGACTTGCTTCAATAGATAACAATAAATAAATATATAGCAGTTAAAAGATTTGTGTAACAATAACTTTCTATAATACGATAGAGAGAAATCAATTATCCAGCTAAAAATCTAAGCTCAGTATTCGATAGAGAGTGAACAATGTGGTAGAAAAATCTTATGTTCGCTACAGTGTGTTCCAAACAAGCTGAAAAAAATAAATTCAAATAGTAGTCTTACATTTTCATCCCAGTAATACTCAAGTCATAAGTCAAACCAAGCTAAGATACTATGTGGCAAATTATAGCCAATGCAATTGTTGCAACGTGTCTTAACTATGCTGATGTAGAACATGGAGTAGATAGTGAAATATTAGTTTTCGCTCTTGATAATTCGATTGACGTTGAATGCAATGGCACACGCTTCATTTTTGTATTGAATTTATTAGGAAAAATGGGGCGAAAATATTCAAGAAGCAAGTATCAAGCATTAAGTTGGACGAACAAGATAGGCAGAGCTATTGATCTCGTATGAGGTAAACAGAAATTGACGAATAGCATTGGGAATTAGTTCACCCACACGGCTGGTAAAATGCTGCAGATCGAGGAAGACATATTGTTTAGGATTTTCACAGTGCTTCACAATTGTGGTCGCATTCACACAATTCCAACAATTGGCGGTTGTGTTTGAGAAGTAACTCGACTTACTCGCAACAATTTTCGAGACAAGTAAATTGATATCGAAAATGCTAAGTGTTGCTTGTGTATTATTCTGTTGAATTATTCCAAGGCCAGCAATAAGAGCATTATTAAACAAGCTTGTAAGATAGCTTAAAACAGCTGGGGGTGCGAGCCCCTCGCTAGCTGGAACAGATTGAGCTGGTACTGAATTGAAGACAAGAATACGTTTGGCACCAATCGCGAGTACATCTTTGACTCCATTCATCAGACTGGTCACAATGGCAGATGGGGTTAACGTTGGTTTGTCAATAAAATCATTGCCATCAGTCCATAAGATGTAGAGAGTATTTGCAAAATCGATCTTGTTTACCCCACTGCTATTCAAGTAGATCCCAATCTGTTGACGAACTCCAAGTACAGGGATAGTATTGAATTTTTCGTAGCCTTGAACGACGTTGTTGTCAATTGTTGCGCCCCCATAGGCATAACTCTTTACACCGAGCATTCCCAATAAATTCAGCACTGGCAGAATTCATCCCAAACGAAATTCGAGAATTCTATTCATTTCTAAACCATGTTATTTTCTTTCTTTCCTGTGTTATTGTTGTATACACATATCACCTTTTATCGACAACAGAATTCTAAGCAGAATTGATCATTTACCAGCAGAATTCCGATTTCGTTATAAAATTTTTCTGTATTTTATCTAAGGAATATTGGTGTTTGAACTGAAAGCAAACCAGCGCTGGAACCGGTCCGACCTGACTGGTACCGAACAGGACAGGACCGGTTCGGAAAGTCAACCGGGCCGGTAAATACCTGAAGATCACCGGTTGAAATTTTAAAATAGCTATCTTCATTTAGCTCTATTTTTGTTAAAAAATTGTTTTTATGAATTTTTCCATGAAGTAGATATAATAAAATTGTGCTATCAATATATATATATATATATATATAGTCTTACGAAACTATTGATGATGAAAAATTTTGTGTAGTTTAGAAGGAATATTTGATTGTCATCATAAACACAAGCAATACATCTCATTTTCTTTCATAGTGGAGAGAAATCAACGGAAGTGCGACAGCAGTTCAATTTGGTTGGTCGATACACTCTATTTTATCGACAGTGTTGTTTTTTTATCATACATAGTTGTAAAAAGATGATTTGATAATAAAATTTGAAACATCTATCTTTTATTTTCTACAGATTTATTGATAGATTTCATCATACTTCATCCATAATGTAAATTGTATAAAGTATATTTTCAAAATACTTTTCCTGAGGAGCTTGATCAGAAAATTGAGAGTATTCTGCTATCAGCATTTATAATGTGAGGATCTGAGTCATAACATTTGAATAGACCTATTTAACCATTAACTAATTGATATCCTTGCTGGAACTCACTCTATCAGTTTTTACCGTATTTTGACTATCTGAAACAGTTTTCAAGGAATTAACTTCATCAGTTGTTGTTCGATTTGCCGGAATTTCACCGTTCGAGAGTAATTTATGTCTGACCGGTAAAATTTTTTAACCGGTCGGACAGGATCGGTTTATAGATTTCTTACCGGTTCCAGTTCTGCTCAGATCAGTACCTGGGTACTATCAGCAGAATTATCATAATTCCTCGGTTCTCCGGCACTTTTCATTATTCAGGATGAATTAGAATAGTGATGTGAGAAACAATAGTTCCCCAGTTAGTCGAAGGATGGCGAGTGGTTCCCTAGGGGATATTATAGTGCGAAGCATGATAGTCATTCACTTGTGCTGTTCGCGAGCGCCTTATTGGTTTACACCAATCCCTTGTTGAGGGAGTGGCATCGGTTCCTAGTGTTTACCTGAGAAATGCGTGTGTTAGATCGACGGTAGCAATCCCTAGTGGAGGAATTGAGTGATTGTGTAGGTATTTTGCGTAATATGTTACAGAGAAGGTATTGTATGTTGTGCTGTTTGTTAGGGAGATGTCTGGGTATTGGCAGCGATTCGTTTAGTGTCTGTGGGAGAATTACCAATTCCTCGAGTGCTTTTCTGTTTATTGCTGGTATTTGGAGGAATTGGAAGAATTCTCATTCCTCGGTCCTTGGGCACCCCTCTTAAATTCATCATTTCTATTTTCACCTTTTGGCTTCACGGGAGGAGGGAGAGTTTGTCTGTTGCTTTGAAAAAAGAAGAATGAATCACAAACAATAAAACGTATTATTCTTTTTTCTTTCCTTATCGAAATATAATTTAAGCAGAAACGAGAGAGCGTTGCTATCATTTATGCAATAAGAAAAAAAAACGAGTTTGAATTATTTTTCATATTTTCTTCGTCGCAATTTAAAGAAAATAACACGCAGCATATGATGTAATGAAACAAAACTAAATGTTTTTTCAAATGGATGCTGCTTCTTCTGCAACAAGTGACGGCACATTGAAACCATGTGAAATTGAAAGCTGCCAACGGATCTCGGCTACACTATGTCGACACTGCAGAAGAAATGTTTGCCGGCGTCACTTCGTTGAACATGCAGATCAACTCCTGCAGGAGTTAAATCCGTTAGCCGATAGTATTAATGGAATGGGTGAGAAAATTACTGCTTTCTGTACAAAATATTATAGAGAAAAGCTTCTTGACAAATTAATACAATGGCGTGACGATGCTATACAAAGTATTAATGACTTATTTGAATTAAAAAAGCAAAAACTAGATCTTCTGTTACAAGATAATGAGGACAACTTCTCACAACAGAAAACTGATCATTCAGAAGTACTTGATACATTAAAGAACGAAACTGCAGCTCTTATTAAAGAAGGTGATGTTACATTTGAGCAGTTGCAGATACTAAAACGAAAATTGCATGTATTAGAAGATGATGTTAATAAAACACACAACAGCTTAGTCTATTGTGACATAAAACCGTTATTGCTTGATTACGCCTCGGTTCTTTTACACTCTGCAACAAGTAAATATATGTGTGGAGGTACGCTTCTGTGTGCTGACTATCAAATGAGATTGAATGATTTTTATGGCAATGCCAAACAAAAATGGGACTTGATTTACAAAGCAACAACAGATGGTTTTCGTGCCGAAGACTTCCATCGCTGCTCAGATAACAAGGGGCCTACAATGACTATCATACAGACTAAAAATCATGGATATCTATTTGGAGGTTATGCAGAAGCATCTTGGGGTTGTGATAATATGTATAAGACGGATCCAGCCGCATTTCTGTTCACTCTGAAAAACCCACATGACATACAGCCGACTAAATTTTTCCAAAATCCAAATGAAAAAAACTCTGTTGCTCATGTAAAGAACCTTGGCCCCTATTTTGGCGGAGTTATAAAAGACGAAACACATTTCATCGATATTTGCATAAGTACTAATGCAAACAAAAATGCAGACTCAAAGTGTTCATTTCCCTCAACCTATATTGATACTACTGGAAAGGGTGAAATGCTTTTTACCGGAACAAAGAACTTTATTGTTGGAGAGATTGAAGTGTACAAGCGTTTGGATGAGGTTGAAGTAGGCGACGGCGAAGGTGATGAGTGATGGCTTAGATTTTAACAGCCTACACCGACATGCCATATCCACGACTAGCTATAGCTAGTCGTTTTTTAAGGCGCTTGTCTGAAGGGAAATTGTAATACACCCTTTTTGGGTATAGGACAAAAGTAATGTTAGCGTCCATGATGAATCACTTGGACGCTAAACGATGATTTAGATGCGCTTTCTAGTATAACGGTAGTACATCTGCCCGGATAGCAGAAGATATGGGTTTGATTCCCATGAAGGTCATCTTTTTCGTCGTTCTGTCACATAACATCAGTGATACTGCTTGTCTCTTTCGTTCTATACATATTAGAGCCTAACAAGTAATAAACCCTTTTTGGGTATGGAACAAAAGTAATAAACCCTTTTTGTGTATGGAACAAAAGTAATAAACCCTTTTTGGGTATGGAACAAAAGTAATAAACCCTTTTTTGGGTATGGAACAAAGTGAAAAAGCCTTTTTGGATATGGAACAAAAGTAATAAACCCTTTGAATGGGTATGGGACAAAAGTAATATACCCTTTGAAGGGTTTATGAAAGTGCAACGTATCATAAACCCTTTAAGGGTATATTAATATACGGTTTTTATTTACAGTGTACTATTGATAAGTAATAGCCAACAATGCAATTTCAATAGATAAACAACGCAACAATATTATCGATAAATTATAGTCACTACTAAAGGTAAAGTAGATAAGTAATAACATCAGTATTATGGGTAAGAAGAGAGGTATCACATATCCGAAATATCGGGCATGATGGAGATGCCAAGGGAGACGCCGAAATATAAAACTATAACTAACACATAATACAAATACAATGCGTATGTAAAATTATTTAAGCGCATTCTGCGTCTCAGGCAGAGACACCGCATCTCTCTCACTTCTCCACAGAGAGATGTCGCATCTCTGACATCTCCATCTCCAGCATCTCCCGATGAAAAAATATTTTTCGATTTTTAGCCTAGACTCCGCCTGGAGATGCTTCTCCTTAGAGAGATGCCACCTCTGACGTAGAGACGCCGTATCTTCGGGAAACTACTGAGGAAAAACATTTTCCTGATTTGAAGGATATGACCAATACCTATCCTTGCGGCACAATCGAGTGTGGAAACCGTTCATCCAGCAATGCTGTCTAGCTCATAGGGAAGGCGAACCCAGAAATTAGTTGATCATAGGACACAGCGAACGGTGCTGGTGAGCACCGAAGCAATTATCGGCTTGCTAAATCATAGTCATCCATGGATATAGCCATATAAACGAAATACTAAATTTACAGCGAATGACGTGTGAAAAGATAAAAACAGGCACATTGCCAACCACCTGGAAAAGGAAAATCATTCGATATTGGCGCGTTGCTGCGGTAGACAAGCATAAAAACACGCGCACCTACTTGAACGCAAGTTGAATGCATGCCCACCAACCCACATCCGCATCTTAGAGTGATAATTCGAGTAACAGAGATGCGTCCGTATCTCTACACCGCCGTTTTCCAGCTTTCATGAGACCCAAATTAGGTATGCTGTATAAGTGTGTAAACGAGGTATTCCGCCTTTCGTGGCACCCACACTTGCAATGGATGTGCACTGTAAAAAAAACGTAGAATAATAAATCCTATGAAAAGAGTTTAGGGCTGTAGTAAACCCTTTTCATAGGGTTTAGTATTCTACGATTTTTTTACAGTGTGGCAGTGTATGAATACGTTAATGTGTTTCTTTGTTTCTCTACCGTGGTCGTACACCAACGTCGAGTGATATGCCTTTTTGGTGTCGTTACCTGTCTGCCTGTTTTAACTTTTTGTGTCTGATTCAGTGTATATCTAGTGTTTTGCCTATGTGGCTCTATCCACGAAAGACTACGATTTAGTATGCCTAGCTGTGTTTCGACGCTCACCCTCTCGCTTCGCTCCATCATGTGATGAACTTCACTTCTGATTGCGCCGTCGTGGTGAGTTATACAGCAATACCGTATGCAGTTTCCACACTCGATTCTGACGCACGGACCGGAATTGGTCCTAGCTTTCAAATGAGGAGAGGGATTTTCCTCAGTAGTTGTCGGAAGATGTAGCGTCTCTGCGTGAGACGCCGTATCTTTAGGTGGGGTCTAGGCTAAAAATCAAAAAAACAAATTTTTCATCGGGAGATGCAGCAGATACAGATTGCGCCTGATGGGTTCCTAATAGCTATGCTATTTATATTTGCTAGTGTATTGCTGCTGTATATCCCGCATCTCCCGTGGCATCTCTGGCATGTCCGATTTGTTGGATATGTGATACTGCTGGGTAAGAAATAATTACCACTAAAGATAAAGTAGATAAATAAACCAGCAATACTATCTACACGTAACAGCCAACAATATAATTCCAGTAGATAAACAACCGAACAATATTATCGATCAATAATAACTACTACTACTAATAAAGATAAAGTTAATAAATTATAACACCAACATTATCGATAAGTAATACTCATCAATGTAATTAAAATAAATAAATCAAGAATCATATAGATCAGTAAAAAGCTACTACGAATATCGATGACTTAACAGCATTGTGATCATTAAATCAGCTGTTTCTTTTTTAATCCAAACACAAAAAATTTCTTTGTCGTTCACATTCATGAACGACATTTATGATTGCTTATAAATTCAAGTGATGAAAATTAACATAAATACATTCGATCGCATATGTATAGATGTCAGCGGGGCTGATAACGCTATTAAATTTTTTTATTACTGGCAGCAGCGCAACGACGAAATCTTTCTTTACAAAGCGGTGGTTCCTTAACGATTTTTTAAATTACAAATAATTTGGTGGCGGCGACGGCTGTTGTCCTAGAAAAATCGGCTGCTGCGGCGGCTTAACCGTACGGCTCCCACCTCTAGACACAACCACGAAATATCAAGTCAATGTTTCAAACTATAGAACAGGAGAGAAAGAACAAAGTGGTCTCTACGGACTAAGTTACTTCTCGACGTTTGTTGTAATGACAAAAAGATCGATCTTGAGTTTTGATTTTTATCAATGCTAAATAATTATGCGGCGCACTGAAGATCGAGCAACAATTAAAAACACTAGGCAAAATAGACTTTTCAGTCTAACAAAATATGGTTACGCAGTTGATTGTAATTTCAAAGGATAAATGATGTGCATAAGCATGATCAATGTGAAATTCTGCATCGAATCATATGGTTTCAGATGGAACAGAAGCACACTTTTTAATTTTTCCCTTCTGAGAAAAAGTACACGTTTATTGAAGAAAATAAAAATCATGAAAAACTCGTAAAATCTACACTCTAACAAGAATAATTACCATACTGAACTTTAAAAAGTTGAGCCAATAGTACCAAACCTAAGTAGTTTCTTCCTGTGTGCCCACGAGAAGAACCTCTTTTGTTAGAGTGTAGTAATTGAACCGTTTACAAAAGAGATTAAAAATATGATCATTAAAATAGTATCAGCTAATAGATGTTCGCACAAATAATTCTTTTTTACACTGCAAAGCCTATGCTAATAACTTTGAACTTTTAGCTACTACCACAGCTAACCGCCCTGCACAATGTTCAACCTATGTATCAAATACAGACGCAACTCGAAGCGCCACCTATTCTGGAGTAGGCTCGTCGACCTGTGACAACCCGACCCCTTTCGGCTCCAATCCTGCATGGGTTCGCTTTTCAAGTGTCGCTGGAACATAATTAGCCACTACTGTGGTAAGTTCATCTCTCTGTAGCACAAGCGCTACTGGATGGTATTCTGGCGTGATGCCATCCTCGGCTGGAACCACAAACAATGGAACTGTTTGTTACAATTGGACTGGTTTGAGTTGTTGGCAATCGAATCTAATTTCGGTGACAAACTGTAGTGGCTACTATGTGTTCTTACTTCCTGCAACACTGAATTGCTCTTATCGTTACTGCACTACCTGAAGAAAAACACAAGGACCTTTTCAACCAGTTACTTTTTTATCCTCCATTGCTTCTGAACAAAAACTAAATTTCTCTGATCACCAGCAATGTTCGCTTCTTTGCTGTTTCTTCCTTTCTCCATGTGAATTAATATGCATAAATTACCGATAAAATTGAAATTATTATTCTCACACACGCAGCACAAGAAGAACAACAGAATTCAAAACAACCCATAGAGCTGTTTTTTTTTCTATCATTAGTTACGATCGAATGATGTGCAGGAAAAACGAAACAATTCTGAGTGGAGTATCTGTAGAATAAGCAAACACCTGCAAACAGCTCGAAAAGAATTTCAAGTGTTTCGTAGTTCTATCTACCGCACCTTAAAGGTTTTAGAGAATTGAAGCGAAATCGAAACCCTTTTAGGCTCCGCACTATGTACAACACCTTTTTTAGTCCAACAAACCGTTTTGGGTTCGGTGTGGTACCATTTTTTTTCGGTGTAGTATTATCAACAAATATTTTTAAAAACGACTATTATTTTATTTTAGCTCAAACGATCAAATTGAAATGAAATACGATAAACAATCGATGCATTGTAAAGAAATGCATAGTAGATACAGTAGCATCTAGTTTTAGCTTCAAATGTTGACGTTCGCCTGCGCATTTTGTTCTATTAACCATACATTAAATTGTAGTGTCGATGAAAATAAACCCCATGGTGTAACATAATGAGTATTATGCTCCAATAGTTTGCTTTTTCGTTCTCCCAACTCTTACTTTGGGCAGAATGGCACGCACTTGTTGTTGACATGTAAGAAATGTACTTTTTAAGACAGAATATGTTGATAGATGATGAATAACTTTGGAACATAAACATTAAGCGATCTATGATTACTATCACGTGAAACTGAACACTGTGCATGGTGTGGGTATGTAGTTACAGATATACCAAGATAGAAGCCAACAACCACACCCTATTTTCATGCTGCAAATAGTCACCCCTGTATGTTCACTTTGCACCAAAACGCATTCGTCGTTGAATTAAAAAAAATCGAAAATGACTCATTGCCTTCTTGCACAGAATAACAACCAACGTTTTCGCTCACTCGCCGTTTGTATGAGAAAAAAAGTCAATTTTTTCGAAGATAGGAGCTAGCCGACACTTCAATGGCTTTTTCCCGTTCGATCAACATTCGAATGAAAGAGTATATCGGGTTTTGTGCCGCCAGCAACACTCAGTTGTTTGGTATTTTTCATGACCAAGACGCAAGAAAATGCCTTAGCGAACATTAACGATTATTTTTGTGCGTAATTTCCTGAGAGAGTTGATGTTCATATGCCTCATAGAAGGACCGTTCGAGGAAAAAACAAAAGCAAACGTGAATAACGAAAACAAGTGACTATCCATATGATGAAAGAGGTTTCCCCCGACTCGGATCGTGCTAATTGATCCGAATCGGTCCCGTCTTAAATTTGTCCGAATTCGTCCCTTCTCGTTTCGTCCCTTCTCGTTTCGTCCCTTCTCGTTTCGTCCCTTCTCGTTTCGTCCCTTCTCGTTTCGTCCCTCAGTGATTATATAGGCATCCGCCGAAGAAAATTGTTCGCAGCAACAACAACATTTAAGGGGGCACGCGACCCTCTACTTTTTTTATTCAATAGGCTCATTCGATAGAGAACTTTTTGTTACATATATCCTCCAATTTTGACGTTAAGCCACTTAGTTAAAACCTATCTGAACAAATTTTATGGCTTCGTTTAATCATGCGTTTAGTGAGAAATAAACTTGTTTATATTTTTTATTTTATTTTTGTCCCGTTAGAGCTCTGAGGTGGAGGGGTTGGAAGGAGAACGACCAATACGCCTGTTTAATAATGCTCTGGAATATGTGGAAGACAAAAATTTTAGCTAAGTGGACGATTCTCAGTGGAATCTTAATGCATCCTGGTTAAGTGAACTCCTTGTCCACGTATGCAGACTGAAAGTTTTCGACAAGATATTGCTATTTCTTCTTACGACGGAACGTTTTCAACTGTCAAATCGCTTTTGAGTTCGGGCTCTGTGCATAAGGTAAACCCCATAGACGTATGAAAAATCCCAAAAGGATAGCTGCTCATAGGTCTTTTGTCTAGAGTTATAGGCATTTTATTGGAATTTCAGCCTATGGCACAAAAGTCGAATGACGGTGTTTCGACCTGAGATTTTACCCACATAGAGATCTATTGGTGAGTAGAATGCCCTGAAAATTTCAGCTAAATAGAACATTTCCTTCTCGAGATATTAAAGTCCCAAAAAAAAACAGAAAATTCTAGCATCTTTTGTGGAGCATGAGTGATTTTTGGGACTTTAATATCTCGAGAAGGAAGCATTCTTTTGAGCTGAAAATTTTAAGGCATTCTACTCCCCAACAGATCTCTATGTGGGTAAAATCTCAGGTCGCAATACCGTCATTCGATTTTTGTGTCATAGGCTGAAATTCCAATAAAATGCCTATAACTCTAGACAAAAGACCTATGGGCAGTTATCATTTTGGGATTTCTCATACTTCACTGGAGCCTACCCTATTCACAGAGTCCTAACACAAAAGTGATTCGACAGTTGAAAACGTTCCCACGTTAGTGCGATGATACTAACAGTACAACATGGTATTGCCTTACAGGATCAAATCGGGCAAACAACAGTGACATGAACGATCCGCATAGCAAACAATCTTCTCACTTGGATCGTAAAGATCACGACGATCATCTCAAGTCCACCAATCAGCTGTCGCTTCAAATTGCTCAACCAATGTCCTTCCATCACAGCCTATCGGTTCACTTTGGAAACATACTGGGAGTTGATGCAGACTGCATTGTGAACGCAGCCAACGAAGGTCTGCTGGGCGGCGGAGGCGTTGATCATCTTATTCACCAGGTTGCAGGTCCGGCACTCGCGCAGTTCTGTTTCAAGCTACCTGTCGACTCTCAAGGAGTCCGCTGTTCAGTTGGCCATTCTGTGATTACACCCGGCTTCATGCCGAAGTATAAATTTATTATTCACACTGTTGGCCCTTATCTTGATGAGCAAGGCCAAATACAACCCAAATTACTTGCTGATTGCTACAGGACAGCATTCAAACTGGCGATAGACCATGGCTGCAGAAGTGTCGTCTTTCCAGCTATTGCCACCGGGTTTTACGGCTATCCGATGTTGGAAGCCGCACAAATCACTATCGAAACCCTCAACTCGATGTTACAGCAACTAGAAACAGGCATTTCGATCAATGTGTGTATTGCTGTGTTCAATGATTTGGAACAGCAGATTTGGAGAAAACTGTTGAATAAATAAATAAATAGAGAGCTCACAGATCTTCTAAATACTTGTAACTACTTGATGGCGCGTGTGTGACTTTCCGTTAACCTTGGGTTGCACCCACACTCTACATCAAAAACATAAAATGAAAGCCGATGTACTTCAGGATCAATCAATACCAAAAGATCAGTTTGAATATGGTGTGAGTATGTATCTGACTGGACTGTAAAAGTGTACTCGGTAAGTGAGAATATGTTATTTGAATAAGTTTATCCCGCGCCCCACCCATTACACATACACACGTACACACACTCTCAATCAGCAAAAGTCCTAAATTTTTCTCAACTATATTAATATAAAATTGCATGTTTCCGAGAAACGAAATTTCTAACTTGTTCCGCTATTAGATTTTTTTTCCTTTTGACGCATTGAAAAGGTGAGTTTATTAAATATGAAAATATTTCTTTCTCTGTATTCAAATGAATAAACATAAATGCATTAGTTGCTTGTTTTTGCATTCGACACACTTAACACACGTGCATAATCATCGTATGGTAAGGTAGAAAAAAAATACATTCGCACATTTTCAGTATGACAATTCATGTCGACTAAAAATAAATCTTCTTTTGAAATTTTACCAGTTGAACTTGTTCATCGAATTTTCGATCAACTTGATGCACATACAATCCTCTACTCAATTCGCTGTGTATGTAAACGACTTCATTCTATCGCTAGTATCTACAATCGTTATGAACTCGACTTCCGTTTTATGTCAAAATCTGATTTACCTGTCATGGCACACATTATTGATCCGAAAAATATTATTTCACTCACACTTGCGGATGGAATAAGAACACGTTGTCAAATTCGTTTATTCCGTTTCTAATTTCGCATTCATAAATTTATTCGGCTACGTTCATTAACTCTCATTGATATTAAAGAACAAGATTTAGACAAATTTCAAAAGCATATTATGCAATACCCTCTTAAAACGTTCTCAATTGCATTTCGCTATTATGATGAAGAAAAAATGGTACCATTGCTATCATCTATTATGTTTCATAATGATCTTCGTAAGTTTGAATATAAAGGAACAGAAGAAATTTTCAATAAAATACAATGGCCCATTTCATACCACATAGAACACCTAACAGTTTTTTGTGATTGCCGTTGGCGTACAGTTTGTTCCATTCTTAGTCATCTACGTTCTCTACGAACGTTAGCTTTGAAAGGGGCTAATAAATATGAATCTGATAAGTTTATTGATGTACAGCCCAATATTACACAATCAACTTGTTTAACTTCACTCTCGTTAGAAACCTATACAAACATTACAATGAATGATATTGAATCACTTCTTTTACTTTTACCGAAATTAACACATCTTCGATTAATCGGTCAAGATATTTTAACTGATCCATCATTATTTGATGGTTGTCGTTGGGAAAATTTTATCAAAACTAAATTGACTTTATTGAACAGATTTGAGTTCTGGTTCACTCGATATGTGGTTGATAACGTAGATTGTACTAGTGTAGAATCATTGATAGCGACATTTCGTACATCATTTTGGCTTGAAACTAAGCATTGGTGTGTTAAATGTGATCATATTTCCGGCAAATATCGTCAATATTTTTATCTTTATTCTATACCAATATCTCTTGATATATTTCAATATCCTAACCGATACAGTGAAATCTTACATTCGATATTGAATACCACCGATGATAACTCAACAATCATCGTAGAGACGCACGCATTATCTTTAGATTTAAGTAAAACAGTGAATGAAAGGATTCAACATCAGGTAAATATTATATAACATTTTCAAATCTCGCTATTTTATCCAAAAGAAAATCGATAAATTATTTATTATTTTTGAAAGATTGTAATAGTTGTCAGTTGCACAGTTTAGTAGAACGGAAACTTTTGTGGAAATTATAATTTGCCGCAATCGATAACATCATATACAATAGTAAAATATGAGTTGTAGGAGATTCTAGGAGTCTACGAATGTGAATCATCACTTCGATTTCTCTATTATGCAGTGTCTGAGGTTAAGTTCTGCGTCTATACTTTCAATTTTATGGTGGATAATTGCATTCCATTCTCAACTTATTTGATGAGGTGCAATCGAGTATTATTCTAAGAAAACAATTTGAATTTTCTTAATATAGACTGTAACAATTGTTTTTAAAGCAAATTCAAATAGTTTTCTTACTTTTTAGATTTCCCCGAGAATGAATTATTGGTTTCAAAGCGTGGTAGAACTTACTTTAGAAATCGAAAAAAACTGGCCCGCTAACTTAGCTGAATATCTTTCAACAATTCTTAATCTATCAAGCCTTCAAACAATACATTTAGATTTCAAGCAAGAATGCCAGTTTGTTGTAAGTTTGGATAATGAAGTCGATACTCTATTTAAACACGCACGGGATCTTATTTCATGTAAAATAAGTTGTCATAATTCTGAAAGAATGAAATTGATAACTTTCAATGCTATCTGTTTAAAATTGCCTCGTCGTATCAAATATCTTCAAACTGATATTACTTATGTGGATGATGCAAAAATATTATTAGAACAGATTGAACATTTATCACATGTCACATTTCAAAACTCTGACGCATATGGTTTCGCGATTAAAATAATCCAACAGACTCCAAGAATAGAAAGAGATCTTGCATACGAAATTGAGTGTTATGCATGGATCGATGATTATCCAAGGGCCAATTTAGTACACTTTTGGCTTGGCAAGAGTATAAATAAGCAATTAAACATACGAACTAACAATAAACGTATGAAGCGAGTTCGTTAAAATAATCATTTTTTAATTATGATAATGATTTTGATGGAATTAAATCGGCAGTTTTTTATATTTTAGTTTTTACGAAATCTCGGAATTTTCGACCTTGTTTTAATTCTAAACTGATGTTCAAAATGAATTATATGTAACGGTCATCATCAGCAAGTTTACATCATTTGAGATTTTAATTCTAAATTCAAAGAAATTCATAGTAATGATGGTATTACTATAACAACATAAACGATTCCATAACCTAATTCGATATCATAACCTAATAATTAGTACGTATATATTACACATATATATGAGTGAATTGCAACTTTTTGGTACAATTCACGCGAACAGATGAAAGTGAACGTATACAATTTTTGAGTAGTGCATTTTATTACAATCTATGCCAGTAGTATACAAAAAAAATTTCCTGACACTTGATCGATTATTAACGAAGTCATGGCCCTTTTATAAATGTATGGCTTTTTCTACTTGTGGGTGATTCCATGCCAAAACAGCCACACTTTGAAAGTTCAAAATTTATACATAGCAGAAATCAGTATATGATCATAGATGGAATGGTCGATGTAGTTGTCCCGAAAAATGAATTTTGTTTTTCATCCACCTGAAACCCTGGAGGGGAGTACGGCAATTTCGAAAAAAACAATTTTTCATTTTTCTGGAGAACCACCTTGACGATTCTATCTGGGATCATGTCCTTATTCGTGCTAGGGACGAATTTTCGAATAAAAGTGGAAACTAGAGAACAGTGCGCTTTTTTATGTTTATGCAGAATAAATTTTTTCGAGAAAAACCGTCAACATCTTGAACATTTTCGCTTTTGCGGTCATCATTTTTTACCCAAGTGATACTCTATGATCGCTTCCCACGTAACTACGTCGAAACAAATATTTTTGAATGAGCCCTACTGAAAGTATTCGCGAAAAATTGTCATTCTACACACTTTTCTAAAAATTGTCGTTCTACATTTCTCAGTATAATGTAAATTTCTCCCGAATGGCAGAAGATTCAGGGCTGAAATTTTTATCGTTGATAGACCTTGTCACTTTATATCTTGAGGAAAAATTTAAGCTAAATCGCATGAATCGTTAATGAGTTATAGCGCAGTGAAGTCGTCATTCTACACACTTTTTTCAGTATAATGTAAATTTCTCCAGAACAGAAGATGATTGAGGACTGAGATTTTTATTACTGATAGACATTGCCACTTTATATATTGAGTAAAAATTTTAGCTTAATCGCACTAATCGTTGAGGAGATATAGAGTCGTGAAATTGTCATTCTACATACTTTTGTAAAAATTGTCATTCTACATTAGTCAGTATAATGTAAATTTCTTCTGAATGGAAGATGACTGAGAACTGAAATTTTTATCGTTGATAGAAATCATTACTTTATACATTGAGTAAAAATTTTAGCTTAATCGAAGGAATCGTTGAGGAGTTATAGATCGTCCAATTTTCAAATTGTCATTCTACAAAGTGAGTATAACGAGGTTTTTTCAGAAAGTCTTCTTATTTTTATCGATAAACAAAGCTGACAATAGAGAGTTTTTTCTTACTGTTTTGTTATTCAAAGAGTTGTCTTTCCTTTCGTATAATTTCTACTTCGTCAGCTTTATCACTGGTCGAACTGTAATCACGTTTGTGTCATTCTACACAAAAATTCAAAGCGTCTGTCAAATAATGTGAACGTTGGACGAACAAGAGAATGAAGTACAAAATGTAAATCCATAATATACTTCGATAGAGCATTGAACGCTGTACAAAAGGGCCTGTTCAAATATTTTTTCTCTTGCTGTTCTGTCGTTCAAAAATTCATTTTTCTTCGCACGTGTCAGCGAAAACTAACATTTTGTTGTCACGTTTCCCGTATAACTCAGCGACTGTATGAGCTACAGAGGTGAAATTTTGTGTGCTAGTGGGACATACTAAGGCCAATAACTTTTGAAAAAGATTATTCAAATCGGTTGAGAGGGGGAAAAGTTATTAGAGAAATACAGCTAAAACGCAAAACGTACCAAAAAGTTGCAATTCACTCATATATATAATCGTATTGTAACATTTGCGTCACTTTCACCTATATTTATTAAATGCCTGACTATAAAGCGAAATTCAATCAATCATTATTCAATAAATTGGATAGTAATGGAAATTCAGTAAAAACGTGGCTGAAGCAAGGCTCATCGGAAACAACATTTATTCGTATAATATGCCGTACTAGTGATCTAGACTGTTCTAGCAAAGGCTGGAAAGCTGTTGAACAGCACATGCAAAATGAAAAACTCAAAAATAATTTAAATGCTCTGAAGAATAATTCAAAACTTACCTTTTCAATATCGGTAACAACATCTTCTACTTCGTCTACACATACTATTCAACTAATTGATCCTCATAAACCTTTGCTATTCGATGATCAAGAATCACAAACTGAAATTTTATGACGTTAAAGTCTGTTCAAAATGCATCTTTCTAAGTAAACATTAAATAAAACCGATAGGCTGTCGACTGCATGTCATTTTTGCTTCAGCACGAATATTTCTTGTAGGATCGAAGGCTGAAAAAAGACTCCTCTTTTCCTTAAAATGTTTGGCGGGATACCAGATTTATTGGTAAAGATTGATTTGAATATAAACTGTGAATCTTTTCTCAGTTCAATTTATATAGCTAAATCAAACTTTTATTCAGGTCCTAGAGAAATGTGCACAATAAGCCATTAGAAAGCACTGGTGTTTCAATGGTAGAATTCTCGGCCACCAACCGAGCGACCTGTACAGAGGTTCAACGGTGAGATCATCAAACGAATTAAATTCTTGAAGTACAACGGTATCCAAACGATATTAATACTTGAATAGTGGTTGGGTTCGATTCCCGGCCAGTGTATTTTTCGTTTCATTTCTTAACTATTTTTTCGAACTAGCGTGCTGGTGCTGTCTTTAGTAACTCTTTTTTAACAGCGGTATAGTTATTCGTCGATGATAAATAGTATGCTGTTTTTATCGGTGGGACTGGGAAAACAATAATATTGCTCAATGCAAATCCATAAAATCTTCTCCAAATACCGTTATATAGTGAAATTGTATCAGAATTTTTATACTTTTTGTAAAATAGCTAAAATGAAGGAAAGTAAAAGTCTTGTGAGAAGTGATGTGGTTATCTCCCTTCTGGATATCTATAATGCCTATTTCTTACCTCTGAGAAGTATGAACGTAAAAACGTAGGATTGTATGAAAGATCGGCAGTACAACTATACCATGGAGTGATTTACTTAGAAAGTTAGCTATTCCTAAGTGCAACTTTTAACGAGGTGGTAGAGATATGCTCACAGGAAATCATTTGCAAGCACTGGTGTTTCAATGGTAGAATTCTCGGCTTCCAACCGAGTGATCCGTAAGGTAATTCAAAGGTGAGATCATCAAACGAATTGTATTCTTCATTCACACTCTGAGACGAATTGTCTCAATACCTGAATGGAGTTTGGGTTCGATTCCCGGCCTGTGCAGTTTCTTTTTCATTTGTAAAATCTTTTTTTTCTCGAAATAGCTTCTGGTTTTGCCACTAGTAACTCTTTTTCAACAACGGTATAGTTATTCATCGATGATAAGTAGTATGGTGTATTTAACATTCGGACTAAGGCAATAATAATATTGCTGAAACTAAATGAATGAAACTTCTTTCAAATATTTATAGGCGGTTAAGCTCCTTCATTTCTTTCGTGTGGTCCTCGATGAAATCATAATGGGAAATAAGAAAAATATTTTCAGGTAATGTATTCTTATCTTTAGCTTTTCCTTTCTGAAGATATGTGATGTCATTTTCGTTTCTCCAAGCCCTATGAAGTTTATTGGATCATCTGGTATGAAGTTATTGGATCAATATTGATTTAAATATATGCTCAAAATCTTGACATCTTTTTTCAGTTGAATCTATATAGCTAATGCAAAATTCTCACGAGATGCTAAAGATTTTCTCACATTAGTCTAATAGAAAGCACTGGTGTTTCAATGGTAGAATGTTCGCACGACACGCGAGCGACCCGTAATGGAATTCAATCATCAGATCATCAATGGAATTGAATTATTGAAGCGCAATTGCCACCACAGAATATAAATATTTGAATAGTCTTTGGGTTCGATTCCCGGCCGGTGTATTTTTTCATTTCTTAACTCTTTTTTTCGAAATAACTTGTGGTTGTGCCTTTAGTAACTATTTTTTTAGCAGCGGTATATAGTTATTCATCCATGATAAATAGTATGCTATTTTTATCTGTGGAAGTGAGGAAACAATAACATTTATCGATGCAAATTGATGAAATATTCTCCAAATAGCGTTATGTAACAATGTGACAAGAGAATTTTTATGCTTTTTGTAATCAAAGGAAGATGGCAGATAACGAAGTTGTTTTCGAAGTGACTTGGTTGTCTCTGTATTCTTTCCCATCTGAATATCTGCGATGTCAATTTTTCTCCTGTAAGCAAGGAGAAGCTAATTACATCATTCAAGATAAAGATATTGAATCAACATTGTTTTTAATACATACTCTAGATGATGAAACCTTTTTGAGTTGAATTCATATTCCTCAGTGAAAATTTTAACGAGGTGGTAGAGATATGCTCACAGGAAATTATTTGCAAGCACTGGTGTTTCAATGGTAGAATTCTCGGCTTCCAACCGAGTGATCCGTAAGGTAATTCAAAGGTGAGATCATCAAACGAATTGCATTCTTCATTCACACTCTGAGACGAATTGTCTCAATACCTGAATGGAGTTTGGGTTCGATTCCCGGCCTGTGCAATTTTCTTCTTCATTTCTTACATCTTTTATCGAATTCGCTTGCTGGCGCTGTCTTTAGGAAGTCGTTTTTAATAATGCAATATGCTGATTCATCGAAAAGATGCAATGTATTATAACTATCATTCAGAATACAACAGAAGCATTGCTCAATGCAAATCAATGAGATCTTCTTCAAATGATTGTAGCTTATTAAACTATATCACTTTTGCATGTGATTCTTGATGAAATCATAATGGAAGATAAGAAAAATGTTTCCAGATTACGTACTCATATCTTTACAGTTTCTTCTCGGAATATCTCGGATGTCACTTTTTCCCAATAAGCAACTTCATGTTTCTTGCATCACCTGAGATGAATTTATTGCTGGCATCTCACTCCTCCTCTTTTCCTCTTTTTTTCTAAAAAATTGAAGTTAAAAGAAAAATACTTAATATTGATGAGTTTTTCACCATCATTCGCTTGCTTCATGTGTTGTTGTGGACATCAATTCGCTTCTTATTGTTCTTTTCTGTCGCAACAAGATGATAGGCCTATGAGTACTATAAATGTAAATACAGTAAAAACTCCTATAACGCACACCTCCTTGTCCTGAATATCTCATGGCTTGACAAAGCAATCTTTATCAAAGTGAAGTTCTGTATAGTGAACATTAATCATGGCTTTAAAAGAAATTATCGAATGACTATAAAAGATCATGCAATGTGATGACTCTTCTTTATTAATTAGGGGTGCCAATTTACAGTTTCTTTAATTTTAATTTAACTTCGTGAAAAGTTAATTTAGTTTAAAATTTAATAAATTGTTTGCATGGGGACACACATCATTGCTACGAGGAAAATACGTGACTTTAACAGTAACTACTAAATGAGAGGAGAACCTAGTATTCTAGGCTAATATTTGTTCATAAGAGTCAAAATTCCTCTATAGATTGTGCAGGATCCGTCATCTTTCTTCTTCAAAATACCGGGATGTGCAT